ATGGCAATTTAACTGACGGCCCATCGACCAAACCTGGCCCTCAGAGGCCTAGCATGTGGATCATTGCCTGTGATATTCTTTTAACGAGCTTTCTACACTGGAACCTCTGACCCGTAACAATCCCCATTTTCAAAATTTTGGCTACTGCGTAAACTTACTGTAATAGCCCTGCTGTAGATCATGTTCACCAACTGTAGTTCCTGATATAGTTTTTCTAAACATAATAACATACACATGTAGTTCCTGATATAGTTTTTCTAAACATAATAACATACACATGTAGTTCCTGATATAGTTTTTCTAAACATAATAACATACACATGTAGTTCCTGATATAGTTTTTCTAAACATAATAACATACACATGTAGTTCCTGATATAGTTTTTCTAAACATAATAACATACACATGTAGTTCCTGATATAGTTTTTCTAAACATAATAACATACACATGTAGTTCCTGATATAGTTTTTCTAAACATAATAACATACACATGTAGTTCCTGATATAGTTTTTCTAAACATAATAACATACACATGTAGTTCCTGATATAGTTTTTCTAAACATAATAACATACACATGTAAAATAATGTCCATCTTTTTGGCATGGTGTTGAAATTATGTGAATCGTGTGCATTTATTCATGTCCTGTAGTATCCTGTACAAAGAATACATAAATACAGGGCGTCTCCTAAGTTTCCATGCATAGGAAATTTTTTTTTTAAATTGAAAACCATTTATATTAATATAAATTGTCTACATGACTGACTTGTTTTGAACACATATTTGGATACATGTCCTTTGCTGCCGAAAAACATGTATAAGCACAGCTGAAACTGTGCTTGTAATTACGTTGGCAATATGTTAATTTTTTCGTATGTGTGGAGACTTCTGGGACATCCTGTAGAGTACACCCCATATGTGTGGCACCCTGAACTAAGCTACTTCAAGGCATTTAAAAACTCATTTGGCCCCACGCTTGACCCATAAAACAGCAGGTTATTCTGTAGCTGTAGAGTGACCCAGTATAACTGTTTTATACAGTTTAATAGTTGAACAGGATTTCTTCGATTGTTCCTGCAGGATTGAACAGGATTTCTGTGATTGATCCTGCTGGATTCACATTTGTTCGTTCGTCCGTTCGTTCATATAATATTTCTTGAGTAAGTTGGTGTCAAGTCTTTTGGGCTGCAAATCCTGAAGGAAAAAACACAAAAAACAACTTGTAAGGAAGGGCCTTCTGTCTTTTGAGCCAGTCTTAAGTCCATATTTTATATATTTTCCTGTGATCTGTTGTCATGATGTCCTTTATCTCTTTTAAAAATAGATATCTCTAATGTCTGAAAACAATCTAAATTTTTTTTTTCCAGTGATCTCTTCTTTGACTTTCATTTCCTTTGTTGAAAGATTTTTAGTTGAAAGGCTTACCTCATCTCCATTGCACTGCATTTTTATCCCGAAGGACTGTCCTTTTTCACAAGCTCTGAAGCACCAGCAACAGTCACCAGAGATATCTATAAAAATAGTACTGGGAACCAAATGAAGCAGTCTGGGAAATAAACCCATGACCTTCAGAGCCCAAGGCAAATGAAAACCACTTAGTCATGAAGGCCCCTCCCCACACTTTTTCACCACAATTTTGTGTATTGGATACAAATAACCCTGTTGTGTTTACCATAGACAGGAAGACTTATAAAACCAGAGGGATTTAGGGTGCTGCAACCAGATTTCTAGTATACTGTTTATAAGACAAGCCAGGAAAGATGCTGAAGCAAATCACCAGACAGATGCTGATTCTGTTTCCTGTCCACACTGCTCAAGAACTGTCAGTGCTTGAACTGGCCTTATCAACCATCTGTGCACTCACAAAACCCAACCCAGACACCATTGGTTGAAAGGAGTGGTCATCATCACCTGAGATGGACAATCAGCATACAGGACAATCAACATACAGGACAATCAACATACAGGACAATCAGCATACAGGACAATCAACATACAGGACAATCAACATACAGGACAATCAACATACAGGACAATCAACATACAGGGCAATCAACATACAGGACAATCAACATACAGGACAATCAACATACAGGACAATCAACATACAGGACAATCAACATACAGGACAATCAACATACAGGGCAATCAACATACAGGACAATCAACATACAGGACAATCAACATACAGGGCAATCAACATACAGGACAATCAACATACAGGGCAATCAACATACAGGACAATCAACATACAGGGCAATCAACATACAGGACAATCAACATACAATGTTTACTGTGTATCATGAGCATGTTATATTTCAAGCTTGATTATGTTGTTAACATTTCCTTGTGCATGTGATGTTTGATTGACTACTAACATTTTGTGATGTCTTTGGCGTAGAAACCAATAATTTGATGGTTAATTATATGTTCCTTACAAGGGAATGTTGGTTTTTGTTGATTAACTCAGAACTTATCCTCCTCAATCGAGCAGAAAGGCTGACAAAGATAATTATGATGGTGACAATATAGATTGATAATTAAATCTTATCAGTTTCACAATCTCCTCCACCTGTGTGGGTTCTGGGTCCCATTGTGGGGTGGGGGGAATAGACCCACTGTCTTCTAACAAGCATGTCATACAGGGCTACCAATTATGGATGTTTCCTTCGAAGTTGGAGTGCATCTGTCTGGGAGGCAAAGAACCAACAGTCTGCGTATAAATAAGTCAGTTCTTTAAGACAGATGTGCATGCAAAACTCAAGTTCTGGAACAAGACCAAAGTCCAAAAGTGGACAAACAACCAGAACTTTCCACCGGAGTTTACAGCCATTGAACACAAAGAAGAAAAAGAAGTTTTACAATCGTATATAACCCATGTACTCAGTGATGTACGGGTTGCTGTCTAGGTGGGCATGCACAGTGCAAGTGAATGGAAAGTTAGTAAAAGAAGAAAGTCAGGTGTTCAGCTCAACTACTTCTAGCACGACAGTGGAGATAGCAGCAGTCGCAGAGACACTTCCTTGACTGGTAGAACAGAAAACAGCCGATACATTGATAGTGACAGACTCAGTAAGCATGCTTAAGAAGATTCAAACTAGCAAACTCTGACTGAAATGGGTTGACACTATCCTGGTTTACAGCATCCAGAATTTCCATCTCAAGAAACTATCTTGGCTGTACACACTGGGAGACGCCGGAGTGAAAAGAAATAAAAGAGCCGATAGACTGGTCTTGTCTGCAGTGGTTATTGGAGGAAGATGTATGGACAAGGCAGACATAATGAATTCACTTTGTTCCAGAGATGTTGAGATGAAGGAGTTGAAGCATTGATGAACTGTCTGTTGGAAATGGGGGTTAAACGAGGACAAGCATGCAGAAAATGGGTTTGCTGAGCAAAGAAAAAACAGATAACAGTCACCTCCTACTGGGTATGTCAAGCATAGAGGCACTGACATGGCTGCTGCATCTGAGGACGGAGCAGGAATGGGTCAGATCACTGCGCTAGGATGTCGATACAGACAACAAGCATATATCAGTGTTCAGAGTCAGCTGCAGACAATTTGGTGGCAGACCTCTTTGCGTTCATTTGTACTATGCACGTCATATAATTGAGAGAGCAATGGCAAACTAATGAATTTTAAATTGCCTAGTAAAACCACAATTAGCCAATAAATGCTGTGGTTCGCCTGCGATGTCTTGAAATGAATATGCGATACACTAAAAAAAATAGTTTTGAAATAATATTTTCAGGTCTATACTCTTGATAAAGGATGTCCTGTTATTGTTTTAACATTACATGAATATCTCATTTGTTGTGTTTACAAATGTCTGGTCACACCTTGTAACTTTGTACATTTAGATTTGTGGTTCTTTTGACTTGTTTTATGGCTAACTGGAACAAGAGCTAATCAAATGTCAGAGATGTCATTGACATTCATTACACTAACTACATCAATTATTGTATATTTGATGTACTAATCATCCTAGCAGATGAAAGGCAGTTGGCATTAACCTGCTCCATGATTTGTATCTTAAAAAAGTAAGTAAAGGACCTTTTTCTATGTCAGGCATATTGGGCATATAGGGCTAGGCCTATATTTTATAGGCCAATCGGCACTCGGTGGGTGATGTGGTCAGCATTACACCAACCATTTGTATCTTAAAGCGAAGGTAAAAATAATATTATAGCCAGTTTTTATACTTTTATCAGATGGTGTAAGCAACTCATTTGCTCTTTGACAACTGATATAAATTAGTTATGTGTTTTATGATATGTTTGTCAAAAAGGTTTAAACACCTGATTTAGAATAAATCAGACTTTCACAGCTGACAGCAGGGACAATTGAGCACTCACATCCGTCAACTTCAGATGACTTCTTATTTGTTTCTGTCATTACCCATGTAGGTTTCAGGGCCCTCTTGTGGGGGAAAAAAAGAACACATCCTGTGACTACCCAAAAAGCATGTCGACTAATAGAAAGCTTCCTTCGACGTTGGCGTGTGTCTGCCTCAGAGGACGAGGAACCAACAGTCTACATAGCTAATGAGTTACATCTGTAAAACGGATGTGCATGCAACACTCAAGTTCTGGAACAGGACTAGAGTCCAGAAGTGGACGTACAACCAGAACTTGCTGCCAGAGTTCACAGCCTGTGAACACGTAGAAGACAACAAAGAACTTTCTTCCATAGTATAGCCTTCATGTCCATATTTTCCATGACATATTTCTGGTTTCATGTTAACATTGGCTGTTGTCTTGTCCATTGCATTTTCTAGTCACAGTTTGTCTGGTATTTAGCACTGTGTTGATAAAGACTTTGGTTGAAATGTTCGGTTGTAGTTGTGCTCACTTTTTCCATTCCCTCCTTTGAGCTTTCTAAATCACAGTTAGTGTTGTATTTCATCCTTAAGTTTATGATCGCAGAAGAGTGACTATATCAGTCAATGTATTAGAAACTAGTTATTCATGGACCATCTTTTGTGAACTGTCAATAGATAGAAGAACTGGCCCCAGCACTGGACAGTTTGAAAGTTTCCGGAAACGCTCCAAAGATGACATATCCACTGGGCGCAGAGGCTCTGCTGACCGAGGTCGCAGCGGCTATGAGAAGTACCGAAGCTGGTCTCCTGACAGCTACAGTTCCAGCATGGACAACTTCCGGCCTGTCACACTGACCGTGTCCAGCTTTTTCAAGCAGGTTGGTCTCTTGATCTCAGATCCTTATTTAGTCGTAAATTTAAGGAAATCATTAATTATAATTTTACACTTTTGAAGTTTACAGCGACAAAGATAAGATTTGCATTTGTTTTTCTAAATACTTTACATTTTTGAACTTGTGCCGCTGGTTCAGCGCAGGAGTGCCAGTCTCTGCCACATCATCATCATCATGTAGCAGGTCCTTTGCAGAATGTCGCTCTCATCACGGTCTGCCTGAAAGAAACTCGCCAGCTGTCCCGCCTCATGTACTTTCATACTCAAGGAGTCACTTGTACCCTTTGCCAATCTTCGTGTTGGTTGGCCCCTGCCCCTCCTTCCTGGTACCATGCCTTCTGCTATCATTTTTTCAAATCCGTCATGGCGCTTCATGTGACCAAAATATTTCAGCTTCCAAGACAGGATGTTGTTTATTAGCAAATCTTCCTTGATGTTCAGATCTTTCAAGAAATCAGTATTTCTCTTCCTCTTTGTCCAAGATATCCTTTCTTTTCAGCTCTGCCACATAGTCAGCAATAAAATAATTGATACTCTGTCATTCTGAGGCTGGTTGTCTCTCAGAGGTCTTCTCTCTGTAGCTTGCTCATTTGGCCTTTGCAAACTGCAACAGTCCATCTTTTACTGTCTGTCTCCATTGGAGTTGGTCTGCAGCTGGGCTCTCCCAGGTGCCTGTTTCAGTGTTCATATCTTACAGGTGACATTTGCATATGTCCTTATTGCGTAGGCTTCGCCATCCTGCAGATCTTTTCCCATTTTTTTCTTCAGTTGGCCATACAGGAGATCTTCTGGAATGTGACCGCCATCCATGCGGGAGAGATATCCCAACCAGTGCAGGCGTCTTTGCTTCTGTAGAAAGTAAACATTGTTGCTCTTTTGAGTAAACATTCATTTGGGACAGTGTGGCCATGATAAAACAAGAATGATAACATAACATAACATAATATAACATACCATAACATAACATAATTACAGACCGTTGGTGTTATAGTGTAAAGTATGCTTGGTTTCATTACAGGAAGGTGTGAAACTCAGTGATGAAGACTTGTACAAGTTTCTGGCTGACCTGAAGCGACCATCTTCTGTCCTCAAGAGGGTCAAGTGCATCCCAGGTACATTTAATTTATTCACATTACTAACAGGGGAGCTAATGAAATAACAAGATGACCAGGGAACAACTGGCATAAGATGAGTCTTTTTACTTACTTATTTACGTGCAACAGAAATACGGACAATGAAAAAAACTATAGTACAGAATTGAAGCTAAAAAAAAAAGGTTTGTTATAATTTAGATTTTATAATAGTCTTATATGCAATACATTACTTGTGGTAAGTCCTTTGAATATTATCTCCAGGTTCTGCCGGTGTGTTGGGAAACGAGCAGTCAGATAGACTGGCTGGTTCTGCACCACTTGCTGGTGAAATGATGTATGACAAGATAGATGTTGTGAGGGCCCTCTGGGAGTGAGTAAACAGTGCAGAGGCACAAATAGATCATTACTTTCTGAAGAGAATGACGCTGCAAGGGGTTGCCAGGGTATCTGGTTTACGCTCAACACGCAAGGGAAAGGTGAGACGGATGTACAGTCAGACAGTTACTGGTGCCATCAAAATTGGAACTCTTCGTTTGCTGCTGAAGATGGGGATGGAGTGCTCATGGGAGTGTCCCAAGTGCTGTGATGTCGCTTCTCAATTCAACATTCAATATTTTACTTGTGGTCAAACATGAGGGAATACACAGTTTCTTCCAATGGCGTATGTGATAGTGGCTTGAATTAACACTGAATATTTGATAGTGACACGAGTTAGCATGATAAGATATTAATTGCTAAATGTATTTTCCTACAGCTACTCTAAAACTGGACATCTCACCGTGTCCTGAGGAACCAAGGTACACCCTGACCCCAGAACTTCTCAGGGTTGAACCATATCCTGATGACAAAGGTCGACCCACGAAGGAGATTTTGGAATTTCCTCCTAAAGAAGTTTTTGTGCCTTACACCATTTATAGGTAGGTATATGGCAACCTCACCTAAATGTCCAATCATCTGAGTGTCCAATCATCTGAGTGTCCAATCATCTGAGTGTCCAGATGTCCAATTGTGTTCTGAGTGTCCAGTGTTCTGAGTGTCCTGTGTTCTGAGTGTCCAGTGTTCTGAGTGTCCAGTGTTCTGAGTGTCCAGTGTTCTGAGTGTCCTGTGTTCTGAGTGTCCAGTGTTCTGAGTGTCCTGTGTTCTGAGTGTCCTGTGTTCTGAGTGTCCAGTGTTCTGAGTATCCAGTGTTCTGAGTGTCCAGTGATCTGAGTATCCAGTGTTCTGAGTATCCAGTGTTCTGAGTGTCCAGTGATCTGAGTATCCAGTGTTCTGAGTGTCCAGTGTTCTAAGTATCCAGTGATCTGAGTGTCCAGTGATCTGAGTGTCCAGTGATCTGAGTGTCCAGTGATCTGAGTGTCCAGTGATCTGAGTGTCCAGTGTTCTGAGTATCCAGTGTTCTGAGTATCCAGTGTTCTGAGTATCCAGTGTTCTGAGTGTCCAGTGTTCTGAGTATCCAGTGTTCTGAGTGTCCAGTGTTCTGAGTGTCCAGTGTTCTGAGTGTCCAGTGTTCTGAGTGTCCAGTGTTCTGAGTATCCAGTGTTCTGAGTATCCAGTGTTCTGAGTATCCAGTGTTCTGAGTATCCAGTGTTCTGAGTATCCAGTGTTCTAAGTGTCCAGTGTTCTGAGTATCCAGTGGTATAAATATCCATTGTTCTAAATGTACAGTGTTCTGAGAGCACAGTATTGTCAGTGCCCAGTGCTCTGTTTCCAGTGCTCTCAGTGTCCAGTACTTTCAGTGTCCAGTGCTCTCAGTGTCCAGTGCTTTCAGTGTCCAGTGCTTTCAGTGTCCAGTGCTTTCAGTGTCCAGTACTTTCAGTGTCCAGTGCTTTCAGTGTCCAGTGCTCTCGGTGTCCAGTGCTCTCGGTGTCCAGTGCTCTCGGTGTCCAGTGCTCTTGGTGTCCAGTGCTTTCAGTGTCCAGTGCTTTCAGTGTCCAGTGCTCTCAGTGCCCAGTGCTCTCAGTGTCCAGTGCTCTCAGTGTCCAGTGCTCTCAGTGTCCAGTGCTCTCAGTGTCCAGTGCTTTCAGTATCCAGTGTTGTCAGTGTCCAGTGTTGGCAGTGTGCAGGGTTCTCAATGTCCAGTGTTTTATCAGATGACAGTTGTTGGACGTGGTTGTCAAAAGCCAGAAACTTTTGGACTTTACTATCAGGTGCTTTAGATTGTGCTGTGATTGTCCTTTAGCAACCAGTAACATTTGTTTATTTGTTTTGTATTATATCTAAGTTATAGGAAATTATGGTGTTTAAAAAAAAAATTTTTTTCATAATTGATCTTCTGCTGTTATTTTGTTCAGAAACCTGATGTACGTTTACCCCAAGAGCCTGAACTTTGCCAACCGCCAGGGGTCGGCTCGAAATCTGGCAGTCAAGGTGCAGTTCCTGGCCGGAGAAGATGAGAATTTTGCCTTGCCAGTAAGTGCTTGTGAAGATGGGGTCAGGGAGGTGGTGGCAGAGAGAAAGAGTGAGGGAGCTAAGAATAGGAAGAGAGAAGTGTCGAGTCAGAGAAAGAAAAAGTGGCAAGAGAGAGAAAGAGAAAGGGAGGCAGGAATAGGAAGCAAGAAGGTGGTGAGATAGGGAAGGAGAGTAACAAGAGAGGTGAAGAGAGAGGGAGGCAAGAATAGGAAGCAAGAAGGTGGTGAGTCGGGGGAAGAGAGAGTTAGGCAAGAATAGGAAGAAAGAAGGTTTCGAGTCAGGGAAATAGGGGGGAGAGAGAGGAAAAGTGGGTGGCAGGAGAAAGGAAGAGAGGATGGTGGGTGAGAAGAAAAGAGAGAAAGGCGGAGGGAAAAATGCTGTAAGGTGTGGAATTAGAAACTGTTTCAGCCTATAAGTTATTTGGCTGAAAAACTGTTTGAGTTAAATGCTGTTTGGATTAGATGGTGATTAAACCATCTGCTGTTGAGTTGATTCAAGAACTGACATCACAGCACTTAAAGCATTCCTATAAATGCTCCGTTCCCATCTTCAGCAGCCAGTGCAGAGTTCAAATACCCAGGGTGCCAACAGCATTCTGCTTATACTCTCTTCTTGCCTTTCCTCTGAGCGTTGAGTATCTACCAGATCCCCTTGTCAGCCCCCGCTGCATCACTCTTACCAGACTGTGGTGATCCATTTGCTCTTAGGACTTGAACACGTTCTCACACAAGGTCCTAACCACGTCTGCTTTATCATGTATCAGTATTCCACCAAGTTGTGCAGTGCCAGCCAGTCTGTCTGCCTGTTCGTTGCAGCTGTTGTTTGAATTAGATGCTGTTTGAGTTGTGTAAAATCTGGTTCAGTTCATTGTCAGTGACAATTTTAGCTGCAGAACTGCTTTAGCTGCGGAACTGCTATTTGACATAGCATAACAAGACTTTCTGTTGATCTTGTTCCTCAGGTGATTTTTGGGAAATCCAGTTGCCCCGAACTCTCCCGTGAAGCTTTGGCAGCAGTGACTTACCATAATAAGTAAGGCCTTGATTTGGTTTGTTTTGTGGGCTGTAGTTAGTTACTCATGTTTTGTGGGCTGTAGTTACTCATGTTTTGTCGGCTGTAGTTAGTTATTCATGTTTTTGTGCGGCTGTAGCTACACTTATGTTTTTTCTGCATTTCGTTACCCAGCGGGGGCACAGATAAAAACAAACAAATATTTTTAAAGAGTAGGGGAGGGGAGGGGGTTGCTGAGTGCCCTTACACACAATGTTTGGAAGTGGGGAAGGAAAGTGATGTGGGGCTAAGCCTTGTTTAAATGTACGCACACCTGGGGCCCTATTACATGATGTTTGTTGTTTTTGGAAAGGTCAGATGTAGGACATTTTGCTGCAGATGTATAAAATTATTATTTCTCAGTTGTTCCCCGTATGGGTTCCAGGGCCCTGTTGTAGAATAGACCCCACTACCTACCCAAACGAATGTTGTAAGAGTTGACTAATTTGAAGTTTCCTTTGAAGTCAGAATGCATCTGCCTGAGAGGTAAGGGACCAACAGTCTGCATACAAATGAGTCAGATCTGTAAAATGGATGTGCATGCAACACTCGGATTCTGAAACAGAACTAACAGCCCAGAAGTGAATGAAGAACCAGAACTTTCTGCCGGAGTTTACAGCCGGTGAATGCAAAGAAGAAGAAGATTTCTGAGATGATGTCAATGTATAAACATTTTGCAGTTATAAGTACGTTATGTTTGTTGTTTTGTGAAGGTCTCCAGACTTCTATGAAGAAGTGAAGATAAAACTGCCAGCCAAGCTGATGGAAACTCATCATTTGCTGTTCACCTTCTACCACATTAGTTGCCAGGTGAAGAAGAATGAACCGACTCCGACCGAAGTTCCTGTAGGCTATACGGTCAGTTACAACACATGCTGTTCTTGTATACATTTGTTTTGATATGTGGGTCATCATCATCTTCCACATTTGCCATTTCCTGTAGGAGTTACGGTCAGTAACACCTCATGCTGTTTCTCACACAGAGTAAAGTGGAGCACAGGTAGAGACAGGTATGCTGTTTACATAGTGGCAGGTAGTGCTTCAGAGGTCCCTGGTTGTGTTTCCTTTGGGTATTTTCTCCAGGTCATGCCAGTGTGTTAGGAAAATGAACAGACAGATAGATTTGGCTGGTTCTGCGCCACTTGGTGATGAATTCATGCATGACAAGCTGGTTGTAAGGGTACTTTGGGAGTGAGTAAACAATGAAGAGGCACAAATAGATCACCACGGTCTGAGGAGTGACCAGGTGATTCTGCCCGACACTCACCAGTTAAGGGAAAGGCAAGACGTATATACATATTACTGGTGCCATCAGAATTGGAACTGAGCTTGCTGCTGAAGATAGGGATGGAGCGCTTATAGGGATGTCCCCAGTGCTGTGGTGTGGATTCTTAATTCAGCATTCAATATCCTAGTAAAATAAAGGACCCTGTTCCACTCCCTTGGATGTGTTGCGGCTATACTGCAAACACCTAAATCTGTTTAGACCAGTCGGCAATCAGCGGATGATGTGGTTAACATCATGCTGGTCGCCTTTTACATCCGAAGACATTACCTAGTACCTATTTGAGGTTCCATCGACCTGGGAGCCAAGGTCACTTTGGAAAAACAGCCCAACTCGATGTGGATTTGAACTCAGACCTTTGAGCCTGCAGGCGAATGTCTACCCACTTCACCGTGATGGCTCGCTTTCTCACATATATATATGTCATCTTCCACATTTGCTGTTTCCTGAAGGCTATACGGTCAGTAACACATGCTGTTTCTCACACAAACATGTGCACACGCACGCACACACACACACACACACACACAGTTTGTTTATGTGTGTGTATATATATATTTATGTAATTTGTGTAATTTTGTAATTGAGTGTGTGTGTATTTGTGTGTGTATGTGTGTTATAATGTGAAAGTCATCATCATCTTTGACATTTGCCATTAAGCATCATGAGAGCCCTTTTCACGCTTCCCAGTCAAAGCTGTGCAGGTTGGGAAAAGAATCATGTAGGGTTTTGAACCCAGATCTCTTTCCCCTGTTCTGTGACCAAAGTTTGGGGGGGGGGGGGGGGGGGGGATGGTTCTTAATAAGCATGCCGTAAAAGGCGACTAATTAAAGATTAGCTGAAATAGGATATATGAGTCAAAAGGATGAGATATCACAGCTTTGCTGCAAACCACAACACGCCAGCTGCCATTTTAAATATGAACAAAAAAGAAAGAATCCAGATCTAAACTGAGTGCCATACAGATCTGTTATAGCTTGTAAATTAAAAAAATTGTTAAGGAAACCCAGGGATTGATGAGATAAGGACGTCCAAGAGAAACACTTAACAGCTGAACATTGAAAAGAAGATACAAGCATTAGAAATACGAAACAAACGAAGAGGTTCGGCATAAAATTATACAGCACATTGACAACTATGAACCTCTTTTAACTACAGTGGAAGAGGTGGAAAATGCAATGGTATGGACATGTAATAAGATCTAACGGCCTCTCAAAAACAATACTGCAGGGGTCAATAGAGGGAAAGAGGAGAAGAGGCAGACCAAGAAAGACCTGGTTACAGAACCTGACTGACTGGACAGGCCTCAGGCATGCAACCATGTAGTCCGTCGCAACTGACCGCCAAAGGTGGAGAGAGCTGATCAGACAGTCAACGACTGGTGGCCCAACCACACGCAGTGTTACGGGATGACGATGATATGTAGAGAGAAACCCTACGGCGAATGTTGATGAGAGAGGCCAAAGATCCTGGACCGAATTCCATCCATGATATCGAAGTGGTTGCACAGGATACAACGGAAATAGATTGTGAGCCCTATGTGCCCAAAATGGCACAACAGGACAATGAATAAATGAAAGGTGTTTAGAATTTGTTGCTAAATCTTTTGAAAATAATTTTGCAGTGGTTGCCCCTATATCGAGATGGACGATTGATCAGTGGCGATTTCACCTTGCCTGTGTCAGTAGAAAAACTTCCTCCAAACTACTCGCTTCATCACCCTGATGTAAGTAACTGGCTGGTTTAGTTGATGTAATTTTGATATATGAACATAATAAGCTTGGTGTGATAGGTTTAGATGGATCAAGATATGGTGACGTATGAGACAGTAGAGCAAGATAGAATAAGATTGATACATGGCCAGTTAGATTAAGGTAGGTTGGGATGTGGTAAGTAAGATTAAATAAACCTGCAGTATGGTGAGTTAGATTAAGATATTTTGAGGTACGGTTGGTTAGATTAAGATATGTTGAGGTACGGTTGGTTAGATTAAGATAGGTTGAGGTACGGTTGGTTAGATTAAGATATGTTGAGGTACGGTTGGTTAGATTAAGATATGTTGAGGTGTGATAAGTTAGATTAATTTATCCCCCGTGTGGGTTCCGGGGCCCCATTGTGGGGAAAACAAGAATAGACCCACTGCCTCCCCAAAAGACGTCATGTTCGAGGGGAGCTTCCTTTGATTCAGAGTGCATCTGCCGGAGAGGCAAGGAACCAACAGTCTGTTATTTAAGAGTTAGATCTGTAAAAGATGCACACGTCTGGAGAGGACTGCAGTTGTAGTGGAAGCAACCAGAACCTTCCACCAGAGTTTACAGCTGGTGAACACGAAGAAGAAGAAGAGATTAATTTATGTTGAGGTGTGGTGAGTTAGAGTAATGTAGGCTGAGGTATAAGGTGAGTTAGAATAAGGTATGTTGACGGGCAGAAAGTTAAAGTAAATTTTGTTAAGTAAGATTACGTTAATTGGAGTTATATTAGGGTCTGTTTGATTCAGGATTAAGGTGTAAGTAGGTAGGGTGTTTTAAATTTAGATAGATCAAGATATATTAGAGTATGGAAAAAAGGAGAAAGATAGACTAGTATATTAAAGTAGGGTGACTTATATTAAGATAGAAATATGGTGAGTTAGGGTAGGTTGGGTACAGGGACTTCTAAGTTTCTGAGTTTATAAACACAGCACCTTTCAATTGCAGTTTCAGATTCCCAGCATGAAGTGGGTGGACAACCACAAGGGAGTGTTCAGTGTTTCTGTTCGAGCCGTCTCCTCCATCTTTGCACAGGTAAACTTGTCTACACCTGGCGTAGTCATTTATATTTCTTTATACTGAGGAAACTGATGAGCATTATAAGATGAGATGAATTCAGGAAAGGGAGGAAGAAATGAGATTAATCTCCAGATAGCCACTGGTATAAACAGTTATGACAAAGGAGATGTCATTATACTGGGCGTATCCTAAGAAGAAGCGAGTAGAAAATCACAGAATAATCACTGAAATGGGAGCTAAATTGATTGAGGAAATGAGAACGTTCCAGAGTAAACCTTAAACAAAAGTTGATGAAAGAGGTTGAAGGTGCTATACTGGATTCCATCCATTAATGTTAATGTTATTCAGCTTCATAGCAAACGGGTCACCCCATAGTTGCTCCGCTCCTGTGCCAACGAAAAACACACAAACTGTTTATCACAGCCCCTTGTGGAAAGATTGATAGACTGCTGTCTTAGCATATGCGCTAGCATACACACGCATTAAAAGCATACTGTAGCCATCTGAAGTGCTAACACAAACAGTCCCACATTAGAAATGCAGTTCATCCTGGATGGTAGCAGTAGTGACAAGCAGAAGTCACCCACAGATCAGCAGTTGCACATGCGATCAATTTTAATCACATAACACATAATGGCACCACCAATATTGCGACAACTGGCATCCCACCATTTTCTGAATCTACAATGGAGGTGACATATAATGGCAAAATAGGATTGTGGTACTGACTTGATGTACAAAATAAGGCAATATCATTTTAAGCTACTTGGTCCAGTGTTTTTAGTGTGTTGATTAACTTTTAAATTAAAGAGCCTTGATTTTCTTCATTAATAATTATGAAATGGTCCATGATCAACATATTTATATTGCCGCTATTAACATACAACATGAATAATAATTTTATGTAGCTGCTGTTAACAAGCAATGAGATATTTATATTCCTACCATAAGACAGACAGTTATTCTAAATGTCTGAGACAAATATCTTTTTAGTTTTTTTTTTTCTGTTCTACCTTGGGGTACATGTGGGGTAGCAAACAGAGGACCCTTTTTCCACTCCTCAACCTTCTTGCCTTGGGAATAAAAAAAAGCAAAAAAAAAAAAAAACAAGAAGGGTTTCAGATTAAACAAAAAAAAAAAAAAAAAAAAAAAAAAAAAAAAAAAAAAAAAAAAAAAAAAACAAGAACAAGAAGGGGGGAAAAAAAAGGAATAAATAAAAGGAATAAGTTTCAGAAAAATCCTTAAATAATTTTTGTTTTTTGTTTTTTTTGCACAGGTCACTAATAAATTCTTTAACAGTTTATTCATGTACATTTTAAATTAAAAAAAAAACATAAATAAAAAAAAAAATATAGAAGGAGTAGTCAATGAACTGAACAGGGTGAAGCATTAAATGAAATACATTCCCGTGCCTTGACCCTGTGACCTCTATTACTGGGGCTTGTAGGAAAATTTGACCTAAAAATTGCTTTAAACAAAACCCAGCTATTTAGCTCAAAGGAAAAAACCCTAAATGCTATTTTTAGTTAATATACTCATATTCTGACCTCCTGAATGTTTGCACAAATGTAAAACCAGCACATAGCATTAACTATACATCTCATAAATAGGTCACTATAGACAAATAGGAAAAATGACATTTTGGGAAAATTAGATCGAACTGGAAATGTTGGTTTTATGACTTCTCAAGATGAAAAGGGTAAAACTGATTGAGTACATAAGACAGAAGGTTGTGGACAAATATGATTATCAACACCACATAAGATTTTCTTAGTTCGTAGGTAATGATTTGACCACGGTTCTGAGTAGTACATTGAGTCTTTCCAGAAAGAAATCAGCACACTCATACAGCAGTCATCTATATATTTGATACCCACCTGAGGTAACCTTTACTATTTCTTTAGGATGAGCACATCGACCGATTCATGAATCTGTATGCAGCCGTACAGGAAATGAAAATTCCCCCGAGGATGAATGAAATCGCCTTTGAGAATGAACTCAAGCGAAGCATCATGGACATTAACGCAGCAAAAGGAGAAACGCTGGTCCAGTTCCTGCCTTTGATCCTGGACAGGCTGATTAGCCTCATGGTGAGGCCTCCAGTAATTGGGGGAAACATTGGTGAGTCAGTCAGTTATTGATGTGAGGCCTCCAGTAATTGGGGGGAACATTGGTGAGTCAATCAGTTATTGATGTGAGGCCTCCAGTAATTGAAGGAAACATTAGTGAGTCAGTCAGTTATTGATGTGAGGCCTCCAGTAATAGGAGGAAACATTGGTGAGTCAGTCAATTATTGATGTGAGGCCTCCAGTAATTGGAGTAAACATTGGTGAGTCAGTCAGTTATTGATGTGAGACCTCCAGTAATTGAAGGAAACATTGGTGAGTCAGTCAGTCATTGATGGGAGGCCTCCATTAATTGAAGGAAACATTAGTGAGTCAGTCAGTTATTAATGTGAGACCTCCAGTAATTGGAGGAAACATTGGTGAGTCAGTCAGTTATTGATGTGAGGCCTCCAGTAATTGAAGGAAACATTGGTGAGTCAGTCAGTTATTGATGTGGGGCCTCCAGTAATTGGGGGAAACATTGGTGAGTCAGTCAGTTATTCATGTAAGGCCTCCATAAATTGGGGGAAACATTGGTGAGTCAGCCAGTTATTGGTGTGAGGCCTACAGTAATTGGAGGAAACATTGGTGAGTCAGTCAGTTATTGATGTGGGACTTCTAGTAATTGGGGGAAACATTGGTGAGTCAGTCAGTTATTGATGTGGTGCTTCTAGTAATTGGGGAAAACATTGGTGAGTCAGTCAGTTATTGATGTGAGACCTCCAGTAATTGGGGGAAACATTGGTGAGTCAGTCAGTTATTGATGGGAGGCCTCCATTAATTGAAGAAAACATTGGTGAGTCAGTCAGTTATTAATGTGAGACCTCCAGTAATTGGAGGAAACATTGGTGAGTCATTCAGTTATTGATGTGAGGCCTCCAGTAATTGAAGGAAACATTGGTGAGTCAGTCAGTTATTGATGTGGGGCTTCTAGTAATTGGGGGAAACATTGGTGAGTCAGTCAGTTATTGATGTGGTGCTTCTAGTAATTGGGGAAAACATTGGTGAGTCAGTCAGTTATTGATGTGAGACCTCCATTAATTGGGGGAAACATTAGTGAGTCAGTCAGTTATTGATGTGAGGCCTCCAATAATTGGAGGAAACATTGGTGAGTCAGTCAGTTATTGATGTGAGGCCTCCAATAATTGGAGGAAACATTGGTGAGTCAGTCAGTTATTGATGTGGGGCTTCTAGTAATTGGGGGAAACATTGGTGAGTCAGTCAGTTATTGATGTGGTGCTTCTAGTAATTGGGGAAAACATTGGTGAGTCAGTCAGTTATTGATGTGAGACCTCCATTAATTGGGGGAAACATTAGTGAGTCAGTCAGTTATTGATGTGAGGCCTCCAATAATTGGAGGAAACATTGGTGAGTCAGTCAGTTATTGATGTGAGGCCTCCAATAATTGGAGGAAACATTGGTGAGTCATTCAGTTATTGATGTGAGACCTCCAGTAATTGGGGGGAAACATTAGTGAGTCAGTCAGTTATTGATGTGAGGCCTCCAATAATTGGAGGAAACATTGGTGAGTCAGTCATTAATAATGTGAGACCTGCATAAATTGAAGAAACTTGTGTAACTCATCAGGTCATCCATTGTTGTCTTATTTGTGTCTAACAGTCAACTGTGGACAGTCCACCTTCGAGGCCATAGCTCAAGTTGTCCTGACGGTTCATGGTCTGCTGGATGAGAAGAATGACCACAATGGACGGAATCTCTTGTTGGCCTCATACATTCACTACTGCTTCAGTATACCATACCAGGGGCTCATTCATCAAGGTAATAGCATGAGCTTGTTTAACAGGCCAGAGACAGATTATGGTCAGAGTTTCTAGTAAGAGAAGGTGGCGGTGAGGGTTTCAGGCAAGAGAAGGTGGCGGTGAGGGTTTCAGGCAAGAGAAGGTGGCGGTGAGGGTTTCAGGCAAGAGAAGGTGGCGGTGAGGGTTTCAGGCAAGAAAAGGTGGCAGTTAGGGTTTTAGGCAAGACAGGGTTCGTAGTGGACCGGGAAATCTTGAATTTACCGGGAATTTTTTTCTGGGATCAGGAACAGTGATTTTAAGCTTAATAAAGACATTCTGACCTTGAGAAGCCGTGAATTTTGACCGCCGCAATGAAATCCTCAGAAATCCTGTGATTTTCAGCACAGGCAATTTTTGGGGAGCCATTTGGCTTTTTTTTGGCCATTTGGCTAGTTTTTGGCTACTTTCATTGTATGGTCGTTTCAGGTGTGAGGGCAGTTGATTATTGGCTATTTTCAGCCGAAATGGCTTGTTAAAGGCCAGGGAAGGGCGGGCTGTGTTGCAGATCATGAATACATGCAGACAGCAGCCTCGGTTCAGTTGTATTTATAAATAGAGTCGCCGTGGTGGGGGCTAAGCAGCTGAGCACGGCCTTCTCTATTAATTAGAGATGGCATTGGGGCTAAGCAAAATGACGTCAGCTGGATTTCCCAGTTCTTTTTTTGGCCTGGTTTTATCTTTACAGTGTGTTTGGCGATCAGTATTGTAATTCCCCGAGATTCCCTCTTCTGTTGTCTCACCTCTCTCTCTCTCTCTCTCTCTCTCTCTCTCTCTCTCTTCCCTCCCTCTTTCACTCTTCTACCTATTGCCCCTTCCTTCCCTTCTGATCTTCATCTTCTTCTCTCTATCTTTCCTTTTACTCTCTCATTTCCTGTCCCCCCTCTCCCCTCCCCCTTTTTCCTATTTTATTTCTTGTTTAAATGTTTAGTAAATGTGCGGCTCCATAACTCTTTCCTAGCAACTCAAGTACACAGTTGTGTTATGGTGGCTGGGGGGGGGGGGGGGGGGGGGGTCGTTCTGCATGAACATGGTATATATTTTCTTTTGATGTGTTTGTTTTCTTAGGGGCATTAATCTCTGTCCATCTCCCTTCCTGCCCCCTCACATTTTGTCCTACCTGTTCCTCACTCTCTGCCTGTCTGTGTCACTGCTTTCCTCTCTCTCTCTCTTTCTCTTTGTATTTGCCGCTCTCCCTCACCCCCCCCCCCCCCATTCTTTCTCCCCTCCCCCCTCTCTCTTTCTCCATACCTTCAGTTGGGTAGAAGGTTATGTGTTGCCTAGTGCAGAACATTTCATGTCCACCATTCCCCCCTCCCTCACATTAAATATATGTGTACTTTTAAAAACACATTTGCCGTCACCCCCCCCCCCCCCCCTCTTCTCCTCCCACATTGATGACACCTAGGGGGGGGGGGGGGTGCACCCCTTTCTGCTACCTTCTTCCCTCTATATCTCATCTTATTTCTTATTCCCTTCTTTCTCTCCCTGTCTCATTCCCACTTTATTTTCTTAAACTTTATTCTCTATCCTCCTCTGTCTCACCCTTACCACCTCAGCCTTCTACACCACCTTCCACCACCTCCTCTCTCCCCTCCTTACTGTAATTGGAAAACCAGAAATAAAACGAAGTCCACTGCTGCCCTGACCTATTTATGTGTGTGGGTAAACTTCTCTATTTTCCACCAGTGGTGGGTTGGGATCCCCTGGACTTTTTTCTTCTTCATAAAATGACCTTGGCTCTCAGGTCAACAGCCTTAAGTGTAAGAAATTGAATTATTGTTGTCACACACAGATAGGACAAGCATGGGGCAGTAGTGGCTAGCACTGTTGTTTATGGACCACGGCCACATTCACATTGGGAGAGGGTAGGAACCGGAAAAGTGGCCTCAGTTAGAGATTTCCTAATTCTATTTTTGGCGCTCAGTGTTCTTACACCACCCCCCCCCCTCCACAACCGTGTCTTACCTCTCTTCTCTCACCCCTTCTCTTTCCTTTGATCCTCCACTATTTTCCTTTCTCCATTCTTCCTCTCTTCCTTTCCTTGCCCTTTCTCCTGTCCCATCTCTTCTTTGACTCCTCTCCATCCTGTCTTTTCATTTTCTCTAGATTTCCTTACCCGCTCCCCTCTCTCATTCTCTTCCGCCCCCTCTCATTCTCTTCCCCCCCCCCTCTCATTCTCTTCCCCCCCCCCATTTTTTTCTAGTTCATCTACATATTTTTTTGCCCCATAACTATCTTTTCCTAGTGGTTGTGTCCACTACACTTGAAATTGTGTCGGGGGAGTAGGTGGGGTTTCAGCACGAGGCTGTTTTTTTTCTTCTTTGATGTATCTTGTCTCCCTTCCTGTCCCTCTCTCTTAATCTGTGGTTGTCACTGCTTTCCTTACCCACCTCTCTCTCTCTCTCTTGCTTTATGTCTGTTTGCCTCCCTTCATCACTTCCTCTTTGTATACCTCCCTCCCATTCTCCTGCTCTGCCTTGTTTCTCTTTCTTTGGTTCTCTCCCTCTGTCTGCTTGCCTCTCTGTGCTGTCCCTTTGTCTCTCTCTCCTTTATGTCTACATCTCTCTCTGCTTGCATCTGCTTCTCTCCCTGTCCGTTCTCTCTCCCTCTGTCTCCCTTCCTTCAACTCTTTGTCATATTTTCCTCCTTCCATATCTCTGTTTCGTTCCCTTTTGCCTTCTCTCTTCATCTGCCCATCTCTATCTGCATTCCCTCTTTCTGTATTTGTCTCCCTCTCGTCTTTCGCTGTCCCTTCCCCACTTTTCCTCATCATGTCTCCATCCCTGCCTCTCATTTTTTCCCCCTTCCCCAGACTCCTTTTCCTTCTTTCCTCTACCTTCATCTGTCCATCTTTACACTGTCTCTCCCAGCCTTCCTCAGCATGTGTCTTCCTCCCTCTCTGCATGACTCTCTCTCTCTCTCTCCCCCTAGCCCTTTCAGGTACCAGGTCCAGAACAGACAGGACTTCAGTTTGCTGCCCTCTACCACCAAGTCCTAAAAAAAATTTCAAAAACTATATCAAGCTCAGGGACCGACCAACACGAAGATGGGCACAGGATATAAGTAACTCCTTGAGTATAAAAAAGTACATGAGTCGGGAGAGCTGGTGAGAGACCGAGGTTTTTTTGTCAGGACAAAGGAAATGCTACATGATGATGATATATGTGCTGGTATACCAACACATGTGGCACGAATGAAGTACATTGTGTGCTCAGTACACCCTTGAACAAGGCAAAAATCTTGTTTCAGTATTACACCGAGACAACCTTGAAAAAAACCAAGGAGACCTTGAAAAAGACCTTGAAAAGCCTTGAAATTGATTGGTAAATTTGGCTATGAACCCTGGGAAGAGAAGGTGGCAGTAAGGGTTTCAGGCAAGAGAAGGTGGCGGTGAGGGTTTCAGGCAAGAGAAGGTGGCGGTAAGGCTTTCAGGCAGGAGAAGGTGGCAGTAAGGGTTTCAGGCAAGAGACATTAATGATGTCATATATATAGGGAGCAAAATTGTATCATGTAAGAGAAAGGTGACCTTGAGGGTTTTAGATGAGAGAAGGTAACTTGTAAGAGACAGGATGTGATAAGGGTTTGCAGTAAGTGACATATGATAAAGGTTTGCAGTAAGTGACATATGGTAAGGGTTTGCAGTAAGCAACATATGATAAGGGTTTACAGTAAGCGACATATGATAAGGGTTTCAGATGAGGCAGTTGACAGAGACTTCAGGTGAGAGACAGATGGTGTGAGAAAGGTGAAAATAATGGTTTCAGGTGAGAAGCTTGGACAGATGAGAAGGTAATACTATGTGTTACCTTACTAGTGGGAAGGCCACATTTCTTTAGTGTTCTCTGACTAAATTTTGTAAATAAGAAAACACAATATGCTGTGGAGGGAAATCAAGGGATAGAGTTACCCATACACCAGGCGGTGTTTATGATAAAAAGAGTTAAAAATATCATCTCATTAAGTACTTTGCCGACTAGCAGGGGTGATCATGTCTCTCCACAACCTGCAATCTGCAACAGCATATAGGATTTCATGTTCCCACATGCTGTGACAAAAGGCTTTCAAGAATCTATCTCACTTTGTATTTTTCTGTCTCTCTTTCCAAAAATCATTTCCGTAGTCTTCTTCTTCTTCTTCTTCGATCCTTCTGTCAGAAAACTTATATCAGGAGGCCGGTAGCCTTTATGAAAGCTATCGTGCAATCCATATCCTCTTGTGTACCATACAGTTTTGTCTTTATTGTGGTTGGAACAGGCCAGATTGCGTCTCTGTTGTCAGCATACAGTTGACAGTGTTGGAGCACATGCTCAGCATTTTCAAGTGCCACGCTGCAGGGACACGTCTCTCCGTATTTCACACCGAAAAATGTGACATATGTTGACGAAATCTGTTTGCCCTGTCCTTAGTCTGAAAATAATAGACTGTCCCTCTCTAGAGAGGCGATGAAGTGAGTCTTGGGGAGAAAATCTGGTGTGGGTATCCAGCCACCTTTCTTGGATACTAGATTGTATTAGTGTTTTCATCTCTTGGTGGGTTAAGTCGCTATTTGGTTGTACCATGTCACTGCCGCTTCTGGCTAATCTGTCCGCTATTTCATTGCCTTCCAAGCCACAGTGACCTGGAATCCACTGCAGTACAGATCACATGTTCCAATTTCCTTTTTCTCATAACGTGACCAAAATATGATCTCTTTCTGAATGTTTGTGATAAGTTGTCTTCACACCATTGCCTCTTTCAAAGCAACTGGATTGCTCCCCCCCCCCCCCCCCCCCTCCCTCCCCCAAACCCCCTGCTTTTCAAGAAATTTGAGCATTCTTCTATAAATTTTTAAAAATATAAAAATAGTAAGTAAAATGAGTGGATGTTTATAATTTGCATATCATGAGATCCCCATCCTCCACAGGATCCTCTCCCAACATTGGCAGTCCTCACACACAAGGCTATGCCACCCTGGGACGACCTTCCTCTCTGCCAGTATCCAAGGCCAACTATCAGCGCAGTTCCAGTAACCCAGACCTGGCAGGAAGTACACCGACCTCTCCAGACTTGGAGTTTTCAACATTCACAGGTAAAAAAACACCAGTGTAAGAGTAACTATAAATCATGTTTACAGATATTACAGTTTCTCAGGAATGAGATCATAGGAGAACAAGTCGGCACAGAACCAATTCTGGATTACATACAAAGACAGCAAGTGAAATGGTTTGCCCACTTAGAGAGAATGCCTTGTGACACCATACCATACAAAGCATACATGGAAAGAGAAGAAGGACGTAGAGCACGGGGTAGACCAAGAACAAGATGGAAGGATAACATCAGAGAAACTCTACAACAGCACGATGTGCCTATGGGCGAGGCAGCCAGAAGAGCTAGAAACAGAACCTTATATCTCCCTCGACACCCACAGCGGTAAAAGAGGAAGTGAAGAAGAAGAAGACAGTTTCCCATGTGGAGTGAGGAGAAACAATAGAAAAGACCCACTGCTCTCCCTAACAAGCATGGCATACAAGGTGACCATTGGGAATGTTTCCTTCACAGTTGGATCGCATCTGCTTGAGAAGCGAGAAACCAACAGTCTGCATACAAAATAAGCTAGTTCCATAAAATGGATGTGCACGCAAAACCCCCTAGTTCTGGAACTCAACTAAAGTCCAGAAGTGGACAACCAACAAGAACATTCTGCCAGAGATTACAGCTGATAAACGCAAAGAAGAAAAACATTACACAGTAAAGCAACAATTGTAATCCGGCCCCACTTGTCTCAGAAGTTCTGTTTCCTTATCTGTCACTTATGTTGACTGCCACCAATAAATATATTTTCTTAAAGATATAATGTTTCTTCTTCTTCTCCTTTGTGTTCACCAACTGTAAACTTTTTAAAAAAATCATTTATCTACTTCTTGACTTTAGACTTGTTTTAGAACATTAATTTTGCATGCACACCAGTTTTACAGATCTGGCATATTTGTATACTGACCTTTAGTTCCTTATCTCTCATGCAGATGCACTTAGACTTCATAGCAAGCACCTCTGATTATCAGTTTGTGAGGCAACATCCTAGAATATCAGTTGTTTGTAAGGCAACGTCCTAGAATATCAGTTGTTTATGAAGCTACATCTTATAATGTCAGTAGTTGTATGGCAACATCCAAGAATGTCAGTAGCTTGTGAGACAGCATTGTAGAATGTCAGTAGTTTGTGAGACAGCATTGTAGAATGTCAGTAGTTTGTGAGACAGCATTGTAAAATGTCAGTAGTTTGTGAGATAATATCTTAGAATGTCATTATTTGTGGGGTAACACTGTAAAAGGTCATTGATTTGTGAGTAGTTTCTGAGACATCATAGAATGTCAGTAGTTTCTTAGACATCATAGAATGTCAGTAGTTTCTGAGACATCATAGAATGTCAGTAGTTTCTGAGACATCATAGAATGTCAGTAGTTTGTGAGACATCATAGAATGTCAGTAGTTTGTGAGACATCATAGAATGTCAGTAGTTTCTCAGACATCATAGAATGTCAGTAGTTTCTGAGACATCATAGAATGTCAGTAGTTTCTCAGACATCGTAGAATGTCAGTAGTTTCTCAGACATCATAAAATGTCAGCAGTTTCTCAGGCATCTTATATATCAGTTATTTTTATGACAGCCCCCTAGTCTGTCAGTAGTTTGTAAGGCTATATCATCATAAATGTCATTAGTTTTTAAGGCATCTTAGATGTCAGTTGTATGTAAGGCAACTTCCTAGAATGAGAATGACACTTGGCAGTGATATGCCTGTCAGTAGTTTGTAAAGTAGCTGGTGCAGTTAGCAAGTCTTGTATATGGCATGCTACTGAACTGCTGACCCCAGTATTGTCTTTATGATTTGTTTTTCTGGATTGATTGATGCTAGGGCGTCCCCTGGACCGGGCTGGAAGCATGAGAACAGATGACCCAGGTCAAGGCATACCAAAAATGAGGGGGAAAAAGGTAAGTAAAGGACCCTTTTCCATACTTTGGGGCGCATTGGGCATAAAGGGCTAGACTTATATTTTATAGATCAATCAGTATAGATATTGAATTAATTGGTCTCCTCATGTGGGTTGTGGGACTCCATTATAGGAGAAGAAAGAATAGATTATTGACCCCTGACAAGAATGTGATAAAAGTCAACTGATTAGCGGTGTTTCCTTCGTCGGAGTGATTTTGCTCGAGAGGCAAGGAATAAGAAGTGTGCATACAAATAGGCCAGATCTGTAAAATGGATGTGCATACAAATAGGCCAGATCTGTAAAATGGATGTGCATACAAATAGGCCAGATCTGTAAAATGGATGTGCATACAAATTAGGCCAGTATCTGTAAAAATGGATGTGCATACAAATCTCCCCAGATCTGTAAAATGGATGTGCATACAAAAAGGCCAGATCTGTAAAATGGATGTGCATACAAATAGTCAGATCTGTAAAATGGATGTGTGTTACCTTCGATCTGTAAAATGATTTTGCTACAAATAGGCCAGATCTGTAAAATGGATGTGCATACAAATAGGCCAGATCTGTAAAATGGATGTGCATACAAATAGGCCAGATCTGTAAAATGGATGTGCATACAAATAGGCCAGATCTGTAAAATGGATGTGCATACAAATAGGCCAGATCTGTAAAATGGATGTGCATACAAACCTAAGGTCTAGAACAAGTCTTAAAGTGCAGAAATAGGCGAACAACCAGAACTGTCTGTCAGAATTTACAGCTGGTGAACGCTGAGAAGAAAAAGAATAATATTAATTAATTGGTCAGTTCATGTTGTTGGGCCTGTACAAATGTGAGACAGTTACCATATACCTAGTAGTCTTCTTTCTTTGTAGGTGTGTTTGTGTGTGTTAACATCTGCTTTGTGCTACTATCAGTCAATCAATCAATCAATCAGTCAATCAATCAATCAATCAATCAGTCAATCAATCAATCAATCAGTCAGTCAGTCAATCAGGTCCGCTGAAGGTTGACTGCGATGGATCTCCTTCACTCTCTGTCACGTGTTTTGGTAGTTTATTCATCTCTTGATGTTGTCCTCCCACTTGTATCATTTCTAGGTCTCACAGTTTAACAGATGATCAATAACCGTGCAAAAGTTGTTCATTTGTTTAGTCTGCTGTGATGTGAAATCTAAGGCTATCAATAACCTCTTCAGCTAGGTTCCCTCTACCTGTTTGTGATTATATTTTCATGTTGTAAGCTCTCGCTGCCAGTATCATTGGGTTCATTCTTACCACATGGCTGAACCATTTAAGTCTTTGTATCTCAATGATTTTAATTTTGGGTGTTGTACCAATAGTTTTCTAATCTCTTCATTTCTCAGATGATCTGTTCTGGGTTTGTTCATAGCATTTCTCAGATATGTCATTTCGTGAGTTGCCAGTTTTCTGTCATGTTAATGCCAGATCTGACACTGGTAAACAAAAGTTGGTCTACAGATTGCTGTTATAATAATAAAAAAAAAAATTATGTTGGATAGTTGGGTGTTTTGCAAGACTGGGTACAGTTGGTAAATGACATTGTTGGCTTGATGGATTCTTGTTTGATACACTCGGTGTGTACAGAAAGTCTCTGGACTTTACATTCTCATTATTTTAGGCCTTACTTAGACTGTATTACTTGTTTCTACTTGCATTTTTAATATTCATTGTTTACAAAATAATATGATTGCACTCAAAGTACTTATGTATGTGCTCAGTCTCTTTCAGAGGATACACAAATTGATATACCTCCATGCTCTTTGACAGCATAGGTTTTATATAATTTAGAAATACTGTCATAATTTTTTTTTTTGATAGTAAAATAAGTGAATGGGTTGGTTATGAGAGGGAGATTTGAGATGATAACGGCTGGAAGTGAGATTGTGTCAGGAGAAGTTATTGGCTTGATATGAGATAAGTGAAAAGGAATTACATAAGTTTGTTTGAAGTGAGATAAATAGGGGAGATTTGAAGATATTGGCTGGAAGCAAGATAATACAGAGGGAGATTTCATTAAGTAATGACCAGGAGTGAGATAAGGGGAGGGAGATTTGAGGAGACTAGCTGGATATGAGATAAGTAGATTTAGATTTGCGGACACATTTTCTGGAAGGGAGATAAATGGAGAGAGATTTATTTAAGGAGACTGGCTGGAGGATGTAAGATAAATGGAGGGAGATTTGAGAAGATATTTGCTGGATGTAAGATAAATGGAGGTAGATTTAAGGAGATATTGGCTGGAAGTGAGATAAATGGAGGGAGATTTTAGGAGATATTGGCGGGAAGTAGATAAATGGAGGGAGGTTTAAGGAGATATTGGTTGGAAGTGAGATAAATGGAGAGAGATTTAAGGAGATATTGGCTGGAAGTGAGAGATAAATGGAGGGAGGTTTAAGGAGATATTGGCTGGAAGTAAGATAATTGGAGGGAGATTTAAGGAGATATTGGCTGGAAGTGAGATAAATGGAGGGGGATTTTAGGAGATATTGGCTAGAAGTGAGATAAATGGAGGGAGATTTTAGGAGATATTGGCTGGAAGTAAGATAAATGGTGGGAGATTTAAGGAGATATTGGCTGGAAGTGAGATAAATGGAGGGAGATTTGAGGAGATATTGGCTGGAAGTGAGATAAATGGAATGAGATTTTAGGAGATATTGGATGGAAGTGAGATAAACTGAGGGGAGTGGGGGGGGGGGGGGGATTTGAGGATATATTTTCTGGAAGTGAGAAAATGGGGGGGGGGGGGGGGGGGGGGGGGGGGGGACTGATTTGAGGAGATATTTCCTGTAAGCGAGATACCTGGAGGGGGATTTGAAGAGGTTTTAGCTGTGTGTAACATATTTTGGTAAGATTTTTAAGAAAGAAGACTACTGTACTTACACAAAGCTAATGCTGCTGTACTCTATGACTTCACCAGCTTGTGCATGAAGAACTGGCGCTCCAGTGGGTGGTCTCAAGCGGCTCAACCAGGGAGCTGGCTCTCAACAATGCCTGGTTCTTTTTTGAGCTGATGGTAAGATCTCAGTCTAAAACTTGTTCAGTTATAGCTTGCTTGATTGTCCTAACATCTGGTTTAGTTTTTGTAGCTGAATTCTTCTTCTTCTTCTTTTTGTACTCATTTGCGCTCCCTCCCAATGTGAGTTCTAGGCCCCGGTTTTGGGGGGGGGGGGCCAAAAGAATAGGCCCCCCTTCCCCCTAACAAACATATTGTAAAAGTTAACAAGATTAAAGCCCAGAAGTGGATGAACAATGAGAACTACCCACCAGAAAATGCAAAGAAGTAGATTCCTCCTTCTTATCTCCTCTGCCTTTCTCCACATCTGTACTCCTTTTATATTCATTCTCTCTAGCCCCCTCCTCCAGTCTCCCTTCTTCTTCTACTGCTTCTTCTTTTTCTCCTCGGTGAACACAAAGAAGATGAAGACTGCTAAGTATGTCATAAGTTGCTGCTGCACACACTACACTGATGAAGGTTATGGTGGGGCACTTGGACCAAAGGGTCGTTGCTTTGAAATAAAACGACTAGTCATAAACTTCACATGTTGTCCTTGAACCCTGCACAGGTGAAGGCTATGGCAGAGCATCTGGACCAGGTGGACAAGCTGTGTGTTCCACGACAGATGAGGTTCCCGGATCACTTTGTGGATGATGTCACCTCGCTTGTCACCATGATCATTAAAGATGTCGTGGATCGGTATATTAAGGTATGGATTGTAGTAAGAGTGTTGCTGTTATCCAGTACAAATATGGTTAGATATGGATTGTAATGGTATCAGTCTTTTATCCAGTAAAGAAGTGGATAGGTATGTATTGTTATGATATCATTCTTTTATCCGGTGAAGGTGTGGATGGCAGGTTTTAAATGTATGATAGAGTTGCTGTTATATGATGGATAAGTATGGATTGGATTGTAACGAAATTGTTTCTTGACCAGTAAATATGTATGGAAATATGATCTTGTTGATGCTGTTTTCCGGAAAAGATATAGTTAGGTACTGATTGTAAAAATATTGCTGTTATCCAGAAAAAGATGGGTAGGTATAGATTTTAAGAACATAGCTGGTTATCCGATAAACCAGTAAAGAAGTAGATAGGAACAGATTGAAATGATGTTGTTACTGTTATCTCCCTATGTGGGTTCTAAGACCCCCATCTTATGGTTAAAAAAGGGGATGATGATGATAATGATGGTGGTGGTAGTGGTTGGGGGTTGTGGTGGTTATGATGATGACCAGAAAAAACCCCAGATTAGAGTTGGCAGTTTTTGGAGGTGACTATATAGGTTTTACCCTGTCATTTAAAAGTGTACATCTAATATGAACATGTTTGCCGGTTTTATCATGGTTTGAGATCCTGTTTCTCCCCTGATATTTCAGGAGCCGCCTCTCATCAAGACACTCAACACAAGTTTGGCTTTCTTCCTCCATGATCTTCTGTCGCTGATGGACAGGGGCTTTGTCTTTCACTTGATTCGGGAATACTGTCGAGCTGTGAGTACATCCCGAAATTTCCTTCTTTAATTGCATTACATTGCATATAAAGACAGCAGATCAAATCGTTTTGCCCACTTAGAGAGAATGCCTTTTGATGCCAAACCATTCGGGCATACACCAAAAGAGGAGAAGGACGTAGAGCACAAGGTAGACCAAGAACAAGATGGAGAGATAACATCAGAGATTCTACAACAGTATGATGTATATTGGATCTTTTCTCCGGATATGCAGGCGTGGTGGGTAATGAACAGGCAGACAGATTGGCTGGATGTGCACCACTGGCTAGTGCATTGATACATCACAAGGCAGGTGTGGTCAAGGCCCTTTGGGAACAAGCAACGGAATCAGTAGAGAAAGAAGATTATGTCCTGGAGAGAATGAAGTACCTGGGTGTAACCAGAGGGTCTGGCCGGCTCACTACACTGAGAGGAAAGACAAGACCGACATATAACCAGATTGTGACCAGTACCATCAGTATTGGAACTCTGCACTGGCTGCTGAAGATGAGGATGGAGCATGCATGGATATGCCCCAAGTGCTAAAATGTAAATTCTTGACTCAGCTCAACCGTCGACACAAGACCAAACCATACAGGGCATAGAGGAAAGAGGAAAAGGAAGTAAAGCACAAGGTAGATCAGGAACAAGATGGAGAGATAACATCAGAGATTCTACAACAGTATGATGTGTCTGTAGTCAAGGCAGTTAGAAGATCAAGAAGCAGATACAAGCTTTTATCTCCCTCGACACCTGAACTGAAGCAGTAAAAGATAAAGTGAAGAACAAGAAGAAAAAGAAGTTCTTTACATTCAGAACACTGTCTTCTTTGGCTCTGTTTCTTTGTCTCTTGTTTTGCAGTTTGTAACAAATACACCCTTATACGTTCACACTGAATTAATATATGATTATGAAAGACTTGAGACCTATCATGAAAATAAGAAATAGATATAAAATATACAATAGGAACTTAGACCAGGGCTGTGTGCTAATTTGCAGTTGTTAAGAAGGCACTAGTGTGACATCCCTAGGAAGACAGACTCTTTATAGGCTAATGTATCCATAAACTAAAGAGCATGGCACAAGCCTCAAAGGAACAGGCATAGGCCTAGAAAACTGAAACAACTGTTCTGGTATTTCAGTGTTATATTGAAGGTGTCGTGATGTTGTACTCTCACTGTACCAATCTTTGTTGTTGTAGTGGTACTGCTCCACTAAGGCAGCCACCGTGTAGTAGCTTCTACACTCTCACCTGCGGATCTGAAGGTCATAGGTTTAAATCTGAACAGAGCCGGACATTACTTTGGCTTCCAGGTGAACCCAACCTTAAATTATTAGAGGGTAAAGTCTTGGGATGTAAAGGCGACCTGCAGGATGTTGACCACATCATCCACCGTCTAGTACTGTATGCCCAATACGCCTGAAGGCGTGGAAAAGCGTCCTTTACTTTACTGCTCCACTGTACTGATACTACCAAATCCTTTGTTACCTCCACTGACTATTACCTTCGGCATCACTCAGTAGTAGACTGATGTGTGACAAGCTAGATGTTGTCAAGATCCTGTTGCCAGTGAGTGAACGGTACAAAGGCACACTTGATTATGATGTTGAAAAGAATGGTGGCAGCATCAGGGAATCTGGCCGACATCTAAAGTAGGGTGACAGACCTAGTTACACTGCCTGTTTGCATCAGAGTTGGAACTCTTCTTTGGCTGCTGAAGATAGGGATGGAGCACTTGTGGGAATGTCCCGAGTGCTATGATGTTGGTTCTTGAAACCTAACTCAGCTCAACTATTACCTGATTGTCTGGGGTGTAGACGGACACTTCAATCTCCACAAGGAAAAAAGAACTTCACTTCTTATTGGTGTTGTGTCTGTCATTGTCTGTATGCCTTTTTATGTTGTGTGTGTCGTCAGTGTGTGTGCCTCTGTTTAAGTATGCTTTTATATGTTTGTGTGCTTGTGTCTGTCTGCCCATGTCACGAGTATATGTGTTGTTTGTGTCTTGTTGCATGTATAGTTAAAGGCATGCAAATTGCCATCCTTGTTTTTGAATTTTTACTCTGTGCCCAGTCTGTAATCCTTTGGATATAAAGTTTATTTGTTCATTTATTCCCCCTCTCTCCTTTTATATCTCGCTGCGTCTGTCTCTCTTGATTTCATTCTCTCTCTTTAAAACCACCTGTTACATAAAGTTAAGGTGCTGATTGCTTTATAATCAACTATTAGGGCCAGCACTACATACATGATGTGCTTAAGGCAGGAAAACATGAAGTAAGTTTTATATGTATGTTATATATAATTTAATTCTGTTAAATTTACTGGAATTTTCCCCAACAGATGGCCTATAAAATGAAACAGCTGTCCGACCCAACCAGTCTGATGCTTCTTCGCTTGGACTTCCTTCGCATCATCTGTAGCCACGAGCATTTCCTGCCTCTCAATTTACCTTTTGGCACTCCTCTGACCCCAAGTGGACTACACTCTCCTACAAGCAGCATCAGTTCCCGCAGCTCCGTCACCTCTAGTACCACACTGGTAAACTGGATAGTTTCATTATTGTAATCTAGATAGTTTCATTATTGTAAACTAGATAGCTTAGTTTCATGTCTCTATTGCATGGTCTCGGGGCATGGCATCTACCTCGAGTGCTGGAGGTCCCAGGTTCAGGACCATGGGAAAGGCTGGGATTTTTTCATGTGGAATTCTAGTAATTTCCCCTGGTCTATGGGTAGTAAGATTTGATGCCCGTATGTATTGTTGTCACATAAAACAATCCCTTGACAGTTGGAAATCAAAAAGAGTGGCCAAACGGCGCTGCCCTGGGAAAATGTGGATTAAAAATTTTACCTAAAGTATTTCAGGATCCTCGCTGGTGCTACAGAGCTCGTGCATTGTGCTGAGATTATTCAGACTCAGGCTTGAGTCAGAGGAATAACGTAGCACTTATGGGTTACTACCCTTGTGCCATGATGTGGATCAGTCGTCTAATCCTAAACCTTAACAAGTGTGTCATAAAATGTGACTAAATGTTTGCAGAAATCAGATGCTTTTGGGATGAAAGTCACTGAGGAGCCTAGTTATAAACCACAATACAAAATGCCAGCTGCCTTCTCATGGGTGAGTTTAGGAGAAGAATTAAAAAAAAAAAAAAAAAAAGAACGGTTTCAAGAATAACGTCTTGACCTTGAGCTCAAGGGCAGAAACCCAGACTTGGCTGGCCTAACTCTTTCAGTACCAACGAACTCCCCATGAGTGTTGGTTACTCCATGCATGACTTGTTTGTCCTAACCTGCTGGGCCTCAACCATTGGTTACATGCATGAATCCACTCTGTCAATGCTGCCACTTGAACCCTTCCTGTCATATGGTTTTTATTTGTTAACCCCTTTAGACACAAGAAGTTAATGTGTATGACCCTGTGGGTTAAAGGTTAGTGATGGCGGTTAACAATTTTGTGATCCTCAGGTACTAAGGTTTGTTCCCCATGGTGGATGGGTTAGAAAAACCTGTTCTCATGGCTTTCAGACAATAGTATGAGAATCGCACTGTGGAAGTGATAAGGGACTGGCCAAGTAAAATTCCCCAAAGACACACAAAAAAATATAGTACACTGTAGTCAGCCTTCATTTTGGATGCGGCACAAATGTTTTATATTATAATAAAGTAATGGTTTGGCCATTTAACAAGATTAGCATCAGCCAGGGCACCACAGATACAACGGTAACAGAGTCAAAAGTCGACCATGCAGAATATGGACCGCAGAAATATCAGAGACACTGAAAAGTACTTTATACAAAGTGAACAGAAGGGCCAGTTCTAGAGATCTCATCCTTGCTCTGACGCAGTGCGGCATTCCAGGAGTAGAGAAAAGAAGAAGAAGATAAAGTAAAACATTCAAGTACAACTGTCTCACTGAGACAGAAAGAGTTGACCACAATGTCAGTGGAGTTGAAACATTCAAGTACAAAGTGTCTCACTGAGAGTTGACCACAAGAGTGGTTTGAAAACAATGTCAGTGGAGTTGACAACAATGTCAGTGGAGTTGACAACAGTGTCAGTAGAGTTGACCACAGTGTTAGTGGAGTTGACCACAATGTTAGCGGAGTTGAAAACAATGTAAGTGGAGTTGACCACAGTGTCAGTGGAGTTGACCACAGTGTCAGTGGAGTTGACCACAGTGTCAGTTTAGTTGACCACAGTGTCAGTGGAGTTGACCACAGTGTCAGTGGAGTTGACTACAGTGTCAGTGGAGTTGACCACAGTGTCAGTGGAGTTGACCACAGTGTCAGTGGAGTTGACCACAGTGTCAGTGGAGTTGACCACAGTGTCAGTGGAGTTGACAGCAGAGTCAATGATCCTTGTTTATCTACTTTTGGCAAACCAGTGTCATTCTTTTACATGCAAGGTTTGTTATAGCTAGTTATGAGATCTGCTGGGTCAGTCATTTAGCAACTCTTATGGAAGATTAACTGTTTCAGGGACCTGTAGAATAAAGTGGGAGACTGTTGATTAGTGCCCTATTTATTGTGAATAACTTCCCTTGTTCTCTCCTGGGATCACTCCTGCTGCTGCCAAAAATAGGTTCATCAACCTTTAGAAGCCTGGAACTGCCTGTCATTTGGATGGATGTTATTTGAAGTTTGTCAGTCTTTTTTGTCTACAATAAAACTGGAGTCCTTGAATCTGGGACAAATAATTATGCATCTGATTTTGTACTAAACTTTGTTCCCTTTAAAGTACTTAATAACTGGTTCATTGCATTATTGTTGCTTTTCTTACCATCTCCAGGTGGATCGATCCAGAGCAAACTTTTATACCTTGAGTCCACAGTTCCGTAGCCAGCATTTTCTTGTTGGAATTGTGCTGTCCGATTTAGCCATCTCATTTGATTATAGGTAAGCTTAACCACAAGTTATCTCTTGGCTGTTCTAGTTATTGGAAGACAGTTCAAACAAAATGTTGTGAGTAGTCAAGGAGACAAAAAGAGACACTGGCTATATTCTGTTCACTGGTTTACGGATTAGTTATTTAAAACACGAAACTAACAAATATGTCAGAGACAAAATATACAAATTTGCAGGAGTTTCTCTTGTCAGTGGTGAAATGTCGCAAGCTAGCTTGGTTTGGGCACGTGGTGAGACATGATTTGATTACAAAAGACTGTTCTTCAAGGAACATTAGGGGGTAGTGAAACACACAAAATTAACCACATTCAAAAACTGCTTCACCAGGGTAAACGCAAGGTGAAGAGCATGTCCTTTTGTCTGCATAATTTTGGATAAAACCAGTTCATCGCTGTCGCTTCCACAAATCTCAATAATCTACGGTTGGCAGAAGTGTAAATAATTGCTTTGATATTCAGATATCAATGTCTGTTTTGTGGATAAAAATCTGCAGATCCTGCTTGACCCCCGGAGTTGAGCTTTCAGTGTTGGTTGCAGAACTGTCATCATTCTCTTGCTAGAGGGTACAAGTCTGCAGGATGTATCGTGGAGGTGTGAAGCTTGTCTTTCATGTTTCATGGTTTCCAGCCTCAAACATCAGGTCTTGTCTGCTTATACTTAAAGAGTTTTGCTTTCAGCCTTGGTTCATAGCAGCAAGGACAGGTATCATTCTTTTGGTAAAGGAGACTGGTCTAGGATGTATTGTGGCGACTGGGGACTTATCTTGCATATGCAGTTGGAGAGAATAACAGCTTGAGGGGTCAGCCATGCTGGCAGATGGCAGTGTCCTTAGGTGGTGAACAGATTTTGATCTAAGTTTCTCGGCAGCCTGGCACATTTTGGTTATATTGTTTATTAAATGATATGCTTTGTGACACATGCACATATACACACACATACATGCGCCCCACGCAGGCTCTTGCGCACATTCACACGAATATTGACATAACTATATTGTGAAAGTTCCTAAGTGAGAAAATGATAAATTGAATTGTTTCCACCGCTTCAGTAATCCGGTGATCCATCACAGAGCCATAAGTGTTATCCACAACATCTTGTACAACCATGACCTAGATGTCCGCTACACTGATCCAGAGGTCAAGAGTCGAGTGGCCACGTTATACCTGCCTCTGGTTGCCATTGTGTTGGAAGCCTTGCCCCAGTTACACGATCCTGGCTTGGATACAAAAGTAAAGGTATACAAACTTGTTTTTCTGTAAAAATAAAAAGTTATTTGTGTATCCTTTACAGGACATTACAGAACCCAACTCTAACATCTTTTGGCTGTTTGTTTTGTTTTTACTAGGCAATTTATGTTCAGTAGTTTGGCGTTATTTCTGAACGGTCGACTGTTATTACCGTTGTTGAAATCAACACAGTGGTCTATTGCCAAATCGCCTGCAGCTGGAATCAAACTGAGTACTTCGGATCACGTTTGCAGTGCCTTAGCCACAGGGTGCTGACTTCCGGTATAAGCACAGGGAAACAATTCAAAGAATGCTTAATAAAAGCAGCTTGATTAGGATTTTGCTGAAAGTGGATTAGTCTGCCCCCCCCAAAAAAAAAGAAAAAAGAAGAGACAACTAAAATGGAATGTGATTTGTGTCCCTCATTATTTGTATTATCTTTCCCTTGGGGTAAAGACTGAGAAAGGGATCATGTCGCATGAGCGACACATGCTCTCTACAATACTGCCCAGGTTTTGTGCTATGGAGAGGTTCGTGCCGTATCTCCATACCGCTTCTTAGCAGTGTGTAACATCTTCTTCTGGAAAGAAAATGGAACCGAGTTTCTTTTTTTTTTGGGTTAAAAAATTAAGTACAGAAAGTGTTGTGAATATTTTTTCTCCAGGGTATTGGCACACTGGGCTTGGATGAAGAAGGAGATAAGATTAACCAGCGGGTTGCCATGGCGATAGCAGGGTCAAATGTGGTCAGCCGCATACACTCATCAGTGTCTATTGCACAAGCCTACGAAGACAGCAATGATGGTAGCAAGGTGGGTTAAATGAATGTACTCAAATGTAATCTTGTGTTTTGGTAATTCTCTTTTCATTCTTGGTTTGTTTAGAACTCATTTAATGTCATTTGTTCTTCTGTTCTTTTGATGAAGATTAGTACCAGTCCTGTCCTAGCTTCTAACCTGATATAGTAGGTTCTGGTTATATTTAGGAATCACCGTACACATTTAATTTCTGTTTTCTTTTATTTAAAAAAAAAAAAAGTTTAGTCGGGAGATGTGAACCAGCGTCATTGCACACGGTTATAAACCATAAGTGCTCTGCCACCAGTACGGACAGCTGATAAGAATTGTTCGCCTGTGTCGTCGTTCACACGTAACTCTGTAGCTACAGCGACGTTTCTCTATTTACCCCAGAGTGTCAACTCTGGTACCCATTTCCTAGAGGCTGGGTGAACCCCGTTAGCCACCTGGTTTTGAACACCGACAGTGGGCTGCAGCGAGTCACAGCTGGATTTGAAAGCGAGCCTCTTATTGACTGCTTTAACATGGCCCCTTTTTTTCTTCTGTTTGGTACTGGTAACACAATGTAGTAAACAGTGTTGAAAACAGGGGTGACTGCAGTCAAGCTGATACCAAGAAAGTAATGCAGTGAACTGTGACTAAAAAACCTAATGGAATGGGGAAGCAAAAAAAACGTGTACAACACAAAATAAATGCTTTCAACCGGGGCCTTCCTCGACACAAAGTTCTGACTGAAGTGTTGATTTGCGTGTTTTGTGCACATTATTCTGCTTCCCCATTTTGTTAAGCTTTTTTTTTTTTGCAGTTCACTGGATTATTATATTGAACTGTGCTCTTTTCTTATCAGTTGTTACATGTTTGTTCTGCAAAACGTGTGAAATTTTTGAAATGGTTTGATTTGCCTTTTTACATCTGTGATCTCTCTCTGCTTCCTTTATGCTTCCTAGATACTTGAAGTCTTTTAGTTGCTTGAGTTGTTGGTTTTCTATGCTTATTGTGATTGGTTGTTCCAGTCTTGCGTTGGTTATAAATTCTGCGTTTTTTCACTTCTGGTTTTTTCCCCCTCCAGCCAAAACATTTTTTATTACTCAGTTTCTTAACTGGTAAAATATATACATTCTTTCATGTACATTCACAACTGTTGTGGTTTTTGATGCTCTGTTGGTAGGCTCGCAAGACACCCCTAGGGTTGGAGTCTACTCGCAATTTGCTGCTTTGTTTCCTGTGGGTGCTGAAGAATGCCAAACAGTCAATACTGAAATCCTGGTGGTCAGAACTTCCTATTGCCAAACTGGCCAGTTTACTGGAGGTTCTCTTCCTGGCTGTTTCCAATTTTGAATATAAGGTAAGTTTGTGTACATGTGTGTTTGTTTGAAGAAAATATGACCTTTTAATATATTTATTTTACAGCAACAGATGCCAGGGCAAAGTGTGTTGAGTTGGCTACTGGGTACTGATATTACAGCTCTGCTGTCTTCTTCTTCTTCTTCTTCTTCTTCTTCTTCTTCTTCTTCTTCTTCTTCTTCTTCTTCTTCTTCTTCTTCTTCTTCTTCTTCTTCTTCTTCTTCTTCTTCTTCTTCTTCTTCTTCTTCTTCTGCTTCTCCTCTTCCTCCTCCTCCTCTTCTTCTTCTTCTTCTTCTTCTTCTTCTTCTTCTTCTTCTTCTTCTTCTTCTTCTTCTTCTGCTTCTCCTCTTCCTCCTCCTCCTCTTCTTCTTCTTCTTCTTCTTCTTCTTCTTCTTCTTCTTCTTCTTCTTCTTCTTCTTCTTCTTCTTCTTCTTCTTCTTCTTCTTCTTCTTCTTCTTCTTCTTCTTCTTCTTCTAATTTGTTTACTTCTTTCTCTAGACACTGTTCTGCTTTTCAGTCAGGTTTTGAAAAGGCACCTGGTATAAGCTTTGGTAGGTATATAGATGCTAATATTCACAGCATCTGATGTTCCATCTATCCACTCCTTTTGTGAGCAACCTCTAGTTGCTACTATAGTGTTTAAGTGACAGGGCTCACTGCCATGCACTTTCAGCTCTGCTGTTCACAAGACAAATAAAAACTTATTGAATGAATCCAGAGAATCAGGGCTCACTGCCATGCACTTTCAGCTCTGCTGTTCACAAGACAAATAAAAACTTATTGAATGAATCCAGAGAATCAGGGCTCACTGTCATGCACTTTCAGCTCTGCTGTACACAAGACACATGAAAACCTATTTGATGAATGCAAAGGATGTAGCATTTATTCAGTTAACATTTGTTTTCAGTAGTTCTGAAAAGTCTGATACTTCTGAAACTGGAACAATAGTTTTGAAGATGCATTACATATGGACGGACAGAGCACTACTCTTCTGATCTGGCAGTTTTTTGAGCATGCTTTGTTCCAAACATACTGTGTTACCTTTGTTGGGTATGCTAAGAGAGAGAGAGAGAGAGAGAGAGAGAGAGAGAGAGAGAGAGAGAGAGAGAGAGAGAGAGAGAGAGAGAGAGAGAGAGAGAGAGAGAGAGAGAGAGAGAGAGGAGAGAGAAAAGAGAGAGAGGAGAGAGAAAAGAGAGAGAGGAGAAAGAGAGAGGAGAGAGAGAGGAGAGAGAGAGAGAGAGAGAGGAGAGAGAGAAAGGAGAGAGAGAGAGAGAGATTATGCTGTATGAACAGCACATGCCCTCTGCAGTACAGCCCTAGCTTTGCGTTATGGAGAGCAGGAACTTCTTTGACCTTGCCATCTCCATGGGCTGTGTTTCTCATGCCCCCCTGTAGGACAACGGAACACTGTCATCTTACAGAGGGGCAGTTGCGAGTAATGCACTATTGTTTTGACTCATTGCCTGCACTATGTTTTTCATGCGCATGAAGTATAATATTTGACTGATAGTTTACATGAAAGAAAGCTTGAAACTTAATATTGAATAACGTGTTGAATAAAACATTGGTTATAAACAAAAATATGATATCTTTATTATTTGAAAATTAGCATGTGAAAAGTGTGTTCTGATAAAATATGTGGCAAGAAATCCGCAGAGGCAATGCTTATTCTCCATGTAGATATTTAATCACATTTATGACTCTTTCATTAACCAATTTTTCAATTATTTCTGGTTTGGTTTTGCATATAGTGTTGGTTTTGTTTCACATCTCTAACTTGTCTAATCAGTCTGTTATTTTACCTGCATTTTTTGTACGATGAGCACATTGCGTAAAGCAGTTTGTTCCTGTAGTTACTGGAAATGTTGTCCTGTGGTTGTAATGTAATACTTGATCAGTGGATCAGTTTGTCCTCTCCGGGATTTACCTGAAAGTTTACCATACTGAGATAAAAAAAAAAATACCATAGTCTATAGACTACGGACAAATAGATCCCAGACATCCCCTTTAGCCTCTAAAGAAGTTATAAGTAGGGCCCCCTTAACAGCTACCCCAGCCAGGTGTAACCTGCAGGCCTGTGTGGGTAAGGACACTTGAGGCATAGTAGAAAGGAGGTGAGACCCCCAAGCCAGTTGAGCAGCCAATCTTTTAGCTTACATAAGCTTTCTGTGCAAAGAATGTACTGTTGACTTCATGGTGGACCAACCATTTCTAGTGACTGCAGTGAAGAAACTAATGATAACAAACATATATTAGTTGTAAAAGTTGCTTGTCTCACCTGATAACATCTTAACCTTCTTGTTGAATTTTTGTTGTTTTGAAAATGTGTTTATTTTTTAATAAACTTTTTTGTTTTTTAGTTTGACTATATAAAGTTTGCTGAACTTTCCTATTAAGTATTAAAGAAAACATTTCAAACAGTTCTTTCGTTTTTGCAACAATGTCACTGGTATAATAAGGGGTCTTCCCTTGACTCACTGCAGTATTGAGGTTTTCACCGCCTTCCCTTCTGCTTTGAAATTAAGTTTTGTCTCATAGTTTGACTCTTTCTTTTACTTGATTAAAGTAAAAAAAAAAATCTAATGATATAAATTTTGGATAAATTTATTATAATACCCATTTAATATTTGCTTGTGTGTGGAAACCTGACCTTTGACCCGGAAATGATGTAACATTGTCTCAGTGTTAACAAAAGTACCTGCCTAAAAAAAAAAAATAACAGCAATGTTGATTGGGAAGTAGATTGTGCAATAATTATCTTTTTGTGGAAATAACATACCTAGTAAATGTTGCTAAAGCATTGAAACAAATAACAGTGCATGCTGTTCGAAAAAAAAAAGAGAAAAGAGAAAAAAAAAAAACGCATAGTTATCCTAGGGTGTGTTTTTATAAGTTGATTGGAAATCCTGTGTCTTAATTAAAACTATTGATGACCCAGATGCATAAGAACTATCAACAGATTGGTTGTTTTCTTTTGTGCAATTTGAACTGTAACACTCATTAAATTACACAGATTTTGATTGTCAAAATTATGACCAAATTATGTTCCTTGCAGTAGCTATGCGTTTAAAAAAAAAAAGGTGTATTTAGGTTATATGTGTCTGTCTGCCTTTATGGACATAGTCATCATTTTTATGTTTTTTTTTCTTAAATAAATATTTATTTGTAACATTTTTGCTTGATTGTGAAACCGGTAGTAATATTTCTTTGTTACATGAATGTATGTGGGAATGTTAACAGTGTCACATAAAATGAGTGGAAATTAGTAACGTTTCGCTGCCAGCAGCAGTCAGATTTCTCATGTAAAATCTGTTGAAGCATTAACATTGTTACACACATACAGTCTGTGAAATTAGTAACATTTATGTTGTTTTTATAAAGTTAAGAAGCATTCTCCACTGTTATGGTACCTAGATTAATTCTGTGAAAATAGTAATATTGTTCTCCTGTTATGTAGGATAAAAAGAGGAAATAGTAATATTGTTCTCCTGTTATGTAGGATAAAGAGGAAATAGTAATATTGTTCTCCTGTTATGTAGGATAAAAAGAGGAAATAGTAATATTGTTCTCCTGTTATGTAGGATAAAAAGAGGAAATAGTAATATTGTTCTCCTGTTATGTAGGATAAAAAGAGGAAATAGTAATATTGTCCCCTGTTATGTAGGATAATGTGGGACCATTGTCCCTATTAGTACAATTTTTCCCTGTTAGTACCATTGTCATGTTAATACCATAATCCCTGTTAGTACAGTTGTCCCTGTTAGTAGTATTGTCCCTGTTAGTAGTATTGTCACTGTTAGTATCATTGTCCCTGTTAGTAGTATTGTCACTGTTAGTACCATTGTCCCTGTAAGTAGTATTGTCCCTGTTAGTACCATTGTCCCTTTTAGTAGTATTGTCACTGTTAGTACCATTGTCCCTGTTAGTACCATTGTCCCTGTTAGTAGCCTTGTCCCTGTTAGTACCATTGTTCCTTTTAGTACCATTGTTCCTTTTAGTAGTATTGTCCCTGTTAGTAGTATTGTCACTGTTAGTACCATTGTCCCTGTAAGTAGTATTGTCCCTGTTAGTACCATTGTCCCTTTTAGTAGTATTGTCACTGTTAGTACCATTGTCCCTGTTAGTACCATTGTCCCTGTTAGTAGCCTTGTCCCTGTTAGTACCATTGTTCCTGTTAGTAGTATTGTCCCTGTTAGTAGTATTGTCCCTGTTAGTAGTATTGTCACTGTTAGTAGTATTGTCCATTAGTTGCATTGTCCCTATTAGTAGCATTGTCACTGTTAGTACCATTGTCCCTGTTAGTACCTTTGTCCCTGTTAGTACCATTGTCCCTGTTAGTACCATTGTCCCTGTTAGTAGTATTGTCCCTGTTAGTACCATTGTCCCTGTTAGTACCATTGTCCCTGTTAGTACCATTGTCCCTGTTAGTACCATTGTCCCTGTTAGTACCATTGTCCCTGTTAGCAGTATTGTCCCTGTTAGTACCATTGTCCCTGTTAGCAGTATTGTCCCTGTTAGTACCATTGTCCCTGTTAGCAGTATTGTCCCTGTTAGTACCATTGTCCCTGTTAGCAGTATTGTCCCTGTTAGTACCATTGTCCCTGTTAGCAGTATTGTCCCTGTTAGTACCATTGTCCCTGTTAGCAGTATTGTCCCTGTTAGTACCATTGTCCCTGTTAGCAGTATTGTCCCTGTTAGCAGTATTGTCCCTGTTAGTACCATTGTCCCTGTTAGTAGTATTGTCCCTGTTAGTAGTATTGTCCCTGTTAGTAGTATTGTCCCTGTTAGTAGCCTTGTCCCTGTTAGTACCATTGTCCCTGTTAGTAGTATTGTCCCTGTTAGTACCATTGTCCCTGTTAGTACCATTGTCCCTGTTAGTAGTATTGTCCCTGTCAGTACCATTGTCAATGTTAGTACCATTGTCAATGTTAGTACCATTGTCCCTGTTAGTAGCATTGTCCCTGTTAGTAGTATTGTCCCTGTTAGTACCATTGTCAATGTTAGTACCATTGTCCCTGTTAGTAGCATTGTCCCTGTTAGTAGTATTGTCCCTGTTAGTACCATTGTCAATGTTAGTACCATTGTCCCTGTTAGTAGCATTGTCCCTGTTAGTAGTATTGTCCCTGTTAGTAGCATTGTCCCTGTTAGTAGTATTGTCCCTGTTAGTAGCATTGTCCCTGTTAGTAGTATTGTCCCTGTTAGTACCATTGTCAATGTTAGTACCATTGTCCCTGTTAGTACCATTGTCCCTGTTAGTACCATTGTCCCTGTTAGTACCATTGTCCCTGTTAGTACCATTGTCCCTGTTAGTAGCATTGTCCCTGTTAGTAGTATTGTCCCTGTTAGTACCATTGTCCCTGTTAGTACCATTGTCCCTGTTAGTAGTATTGTCCCTGTTAGTACCATTGTCCCTGTTAGTACCATTGTCCCTGTTAGTAGTATTGTCCCTGTTAGTAGCATTGTCAATGTTAGTACCATTGTCCCTGTTAGTAGCAGTGTCCCTGTTAGTATCATTGCACCTGTTAGTAGCAGTGTTCCTGTTAGGTAAGAGTCTGTGGAAATTGTAACCTCTTCCTAGTTTTATAGAAGCATTCATGGAATGTTAACATTCTTCCTGTATTAATTTATATATGAAATCTATAACATTCCTCTTATGTTACATTTGTATTACTTTGAATCAGTAACATTCTTCTCATGTTAGATTTATATACATCTTCAAAATGGTAACTTCCTCTTGATATTACATCTTTAAATAAATAATAGTCCCCGCTTGTAATAGATATGTATCATGCATAAGCCTTTCTAATGAGCATAACAATTTTTGCCTCTATACTGGGTATTTGGTCATTCTAGAAATTCTGTATTTGTTTCTGTCATTTAACAGTAATGTTTTTGATACATTTGTAGAATATTTAAACTATAACCTGGCTGTAATTAGTTTATGTAAAAATATTTTTAGCTCATAGATTTCTTCACTGTGAAGAAGTCTACCTATGTCCTTTGTGAGTGTGTCTGTCTCTGTATTTTTCCGTCTCTTTGTCTCTGTCTGTGTGTACTTCAGTCGCTGAGTCATTCAATCTTTGTGTCACTCCGTCTCTGTGTCTTTCATCTCTGTAGATCTCTCCATCTCTGTATATTAAAGCCTCTAATACTGAATATTAGTCTGCAGTTTCCTGGTTTTGGTATGTGTGCTTATTGTATTTCTCGCAGACTTTTTTTTTTACTGTTCCTCTGGATGTCCAGTGTCCCCCATCTTATTCTGTCTCTTTCTCTCCTATCTTTCTGTATATCCTTTCTCTGTCTCCCTGTGCCATCCTCTCTGTGTCCCTCCACCCCCTTTCTTTTAGCATTCCCCCTCCCATTTCTATCTCTCTTTCACTGATAATAGATGTTACTGACCTTCTCTCTTCTATATTTAATCTGGCTCGTATCGTAGGCCTAAAACAGACAAAACCATCCTTCTACACACTCAAAGCGAACACTAGCGGAGCACATGAAAAAATCTTTAATGGACAAAGATCAAGTCAAAGTATCAGTTGGCCTCAAAAGTGGTGGGAGTCCCTAATCCAAAATGCCAGCTGCCTAGTTTTTACATTCTCTAGGGGGAACCGTGCCATTCCCATGGACATCCTGGGATTCAAACCCACTAGACTTTCGTACAGTGCTAGTTAAGCCGCTGTCTTTGCCATGCGAGATTCTGAAGCGCACCGGTGAATATCCCAAATTTGCGCGGGCAGTGTTAACGCCACAACTAATGCATGATAACTGTTCCAAACTGCTAAAGAATGCTACAGCTGAATAACTGCTTCCGAACACTGTATAAAACAGATCACAATTATGGCATATCACACAATACACTTAACCGTCCATCCCTAACTGGTCGATAACACATTATACAGCTAACAGTCTTTGTCACACTCAAGACCCCTCTCATCTGTGTCTCCCCAGAGCTCGCTCTGTCCAGCATTTTTGTTCCACAGCCTCGCTGAACATTTCTCATGACTTAGAGTTTAGTCCTCATGACTTCACCTCATTTGTCATAATAATCTAACCTTGAGGTCGTGTCTGCGTACAAACACGAGTGACAAACATAAACATCCCTGCTAGTATTGCCATAGGCAGAACTGGCATCTGACACTGGAGAACATATTAGTTCATAGGGTCAGAGCTCACGGTGGAAGATAAAGTCATACAGCTCAGCTGGTTTATGAAAGTATGACATTTGTGTGTGTTTCTGAGCTTGCTGCATGTTTGGGCATGATTCTTATTGTAGGTGTCTATGTTTGTGGCGATTACTAGCACCTCTGTCTCTCTCTTACTCCCCCCCCCTCCCCCCCAACCCCCTTTTCCGGTGGGTATAAAAGTGAGACAGTTAAACAGAGAGGGAGAGAATGAATGAATGAACAAATGAACATTATTTTCAAAGGCTGACAAATTGGGCATATAGGCCCGTCTGTCTTCACTTCCTTTCAAGCCTTCCTCTTTCACACCACAATATTATTCCATCTAGAAACATGTTACGTTAATGCAGCAGGGTATATAATATTGAGACAAAGTAATCATACAATAAATGAGCACATTTAAATATACATAATACATAATACATATACATACATACATACATACATACATACATACATACATACATACATACATACATACATACATACATACATACATACATACATACATACATACATACATACATACATACATACATACATACATACATACATACGCACGCACGCACGCACGCACGCACGCACGCACACACACACACATATCCATCCATCCATCCATCCATGCATGCATACATACTTATATATGTTTATACATACACACCTGTATACACACACACGCACATACAAACATACAGAGAGAGAGAGAGAGACACACACACAAGAACTCGATGGGTTCTAGAGGCTTCCTGATGGCATGGACAAAGGTCAGAGGAAGGAATTTGGTCACCTCGTTTCAAGCAGCTGTGACTGGTATTGATGAAAGTGAATCACATCCCAACCTGTAATGAGAATGCCTGTCATCGAATTACTTCTACCACAAAACAATTATGCTCCGTGGCTCACTGATAGAGCTGTATCATATGAGTGTGATTTCTTTCTAGGGTTTCTGAGTGTGGTCGCCTACATAGCACATTACTGTTGTTCACTGTATTTGAAAAGGATTCTCTCAATTCCTCTGTCTTTATTTTCCCTCTTTTGCCCTCTGTTCTTCAGTAATGTCCTTCCCACTCTCTTACTTTTTCAGCAGCTTCCTTTTATTCTTTTGCTTTCTCTTTCCTTCCTCTGTCTTTCTATCTCCTCTTCCCATCTGAGTGTGGTCTCCTACATAGCAAACTACCATTGTTGTTATTCTCTCCTCACTACCTCCATTATCTTCTCTTCCCTTTCTTTCTGTCTGTCTCCCCCATTTTTCCACTTTCCTTTTTTTCTTTGGCTCTCTTTCTCTTCCTGTTTACAATTTTTACCTTCCCTCTTTGCTTGATCGTCTGCCGCAAAAGTTTCTTGTAGCGACAGAATTAATGAACACGCTCAACTTCATTAATACATTAACTCCTTTGTATTGCGAGAAGAGATTTTGCACTTTTTGCAAGTGCTATTTATCTGGGGCCTGTTAATTATATTGTACTGTATGTTTCAGTTTGCCTGGCTATAGTTTTAAACTTTGTTTTTAGGTATAGTTTAGTAAAAAAAACAAAAAACTTTAACAACTAAATTGTAAACTGTATGAAAAACCCTTTACCAAGTATGGAAAATGTCTACACCCTTTAGAAGTTAAATGCGATAAGTTGAAACAATATCTGGCATGACACACACATTTTCTTGCTACACATTGCCAGTTTGGCAACCATTGTTCCATGGCTGTCTTTGTTTTCTTGCCAGATAAACTTTTATGTAAATTTTCTATATCTTTATAGCAATGGTCTATGTATCTTTGTATGCATATGAAGGGTTTATAGAAATAAAGTCCACATGATTATTTAGTGCATGATGTTGCTGGAGTGTGCAGGAGCATTTATTATTTATTGATGTATAAAGAAGATTGTTGTATTTATGTGGTAATATGTTGTACTCTTGTACCACAATTGCACCTGCCCTCTTCAGGCTAAATGGGCAGTGCCATCTTTAGACAGAATGTGGTGGAGGACGTGGTCGGACGAGACTGCCGAAGACTGGAATGAGAAAGATCGTGGCAGTCCAAGCCCCACATTCGGCCTGAGTGCCTCAGGGGCGCGTCCAAAAAGCCACACTTTGCCCAAATCGCAGTCACTGCATGAACAGCTCTGGGAGGGAATTCAGCGCAAGTCTGTGGACTTCCTGCGTGGTGGCAGCAACTTGCTTACGAGAACCAACAGTAAGGAGGACACGCCAGGGCAGCAGGTAGGCGGATTGCGTGCCAGGCATGGATGTGGCCAGGAAGGGCTTTTAACATTTTCATTAAACTAGATGGTTGCCAGCTTTCGTATCATTTGATAGATTGTTTTGTTTTTGTTTTAACTTAAAAAAAAAACCGTAGTGTTTATATAAGGAAATTCTTTTTTTTTTTTTAAAGACAAAACAGTAAAGCATGCCAGATTTCTGTGATTATATAACTTCTTATGGGTTCTCCATAAATTTAAAAAAAAAAAAAAACACAACTACAAACAACACATAGAAATTACTGTGTGAAAGGATGAGAAAATGGATAAATAATAATGCATTGAGACATATTATTTCAAAACTGACCTTGGCTCAAAGGTGTTATCCTAAAGATGTAAAGGCGGCCATGAAAGGGTTAACTAGTTCACCAGTCTAGTGCAACTGATCTTTCACAAACACAGGCCTAGTCCTATATGCTCGATGAGCGTGCACACACAGAGAGAGAGAAAGAGAGAGAGAGAGAGAGGGGGGCAGGGAGAGAGAGAGAGGGGGGCAAGGAGAGAGAGAGAGAGAGGGGGAGAAAGAGAGAGAGAGAGAGGGGGGCAGGGAGAGAGAGAGAGAGAGAGAGAGAGAGAGAGAGAGAGAGAGAGAGAGAGAGAGAGAGAGAGAGAGAGAGAGATAAAAGGGTACTTAAGTTTAGTTACTTAGTTTACGCATGCTCATATTTAACGACAGTAAAAATAATCCTGATTGTAAATCGTGATGTAATCTCAGCATGTCGCAACAATGAAGCACACTGGTACCTCACTGTATTTACATTTACTTATCAAATTATATTCCATATCACTTAACTATCAGTCCCCAAACATTTAATTAACACTGGTCCACGACTGTAGGCTGGCTATGTGTTGTGAACGCACTTCATATTTCGAAAGTTTCCCAGCTTTCCTGTGTGGTTTCTGGGACCCATTTTACAGCATATAAACAATAGACCATTGCCCCCGAAAGCAAGCATGGGCGATTTGGAAGGCAGACTACCTTGTGGTGGTTTTGACAGTGATATTGAGAGCTAAACTTTCAGAAAGTTATGGAAACTACTGAACGTAAAGCTCCCTAGTGAAATCACAAACAGCCAACAAATATTGGAGTTAGTTCCGCAACACCTTGTGGAAAAAAAAAAACATACAACTATTCTAAATGGCTGGCGTGATGCTGGCTTCATCCCCCATTAATAGTTAATTGGCCTATATCAGTATTTGTTAAATAATTATGTACCAATAGGACATCCAAACATTAAGTATGAACGGCAAAAAAAAAAAAAAAAAAACAGATTATAGCAGCATATTTATACCAGCACTCTGCCACCAGTGCCAGACTTGGACAATATCAAAGGCTAACCTACATAAAATTAACACCTGTGAAATAAGATGTCTGAGAAAAGCCGCCAACTTAACCAAGAAATGATATTATCAGACAGACTGAAGGAACAACAGCAAATCTGTAGCAAATCTAAGAATACAGCCAGAACAACTACCATTGCATGTGCTAGACATGAACAGATCTGATGTGAAAGCAAGAGGTCACCCTGAGAGATGGACTGATGACATTAAAGTGCTTCTGCATCGACACGGAATGACAGTAGCCATTGCTGCCGATAAAGCAACGGATCGCAGACTGTTCCTCCTCACAAAGCTTAACAGCAGGAGTGTAAATTGATGATGATGATGAACACTATTTATGTAACACAGTATATACCTGATGTAGTCCTCTAGAATTTGGTTCCGGATTTTCAATCTGGCAACAAGGTAATTTCTGCTGGTAATGGAGATGAGCGGGGAGCTGCCATGATCAAAAGGTCATGGGTTCAAATCCACATTCAGCTTTAAACGGGTATCAGGTAAAGTCCTGGGAAGTAAAGGCGGCTGGCATGATGTTGGCTACATCACCCATCGAGGGTCTAGTCTCAAATGCCTGTTGTGCCACTGCTGTTTAAAGGGACTTTCATTTAACTTTATGAAGATGAGCGGTAATTGTTTTGAAATTCTTTTTAGCTTAGCGGAAAATTTGATGTCAGCTTTTGGTTTCTGTGTTTTGTATCTGAACCCTAAGTAATGTTTTGGTATTTATTTTTGTTATTTTTTTTATTACTTTTGTGTGTGATTGATAATAATAACAAAAATAATTTAGAATCTACCCATTCTTTGGGCAGCAAACATATTCAGTTATTTTGTTTTTGTTTCAAAAAAAATGTCTAGCTATGTTATCACAATCAGAGTCACCTCACATTGGGGTTTCCCATGTGTGCTTAGGCCTCCAGTGCAGCAGCAACTCCGGGGTACCTCTGCTGATTGTTAGCCTATGTCTAATCTCTAGTGGCAGAGCCTTGTTTACCAGGATGCTCTTTATTGTATACAATTCAGTTTTTGCTAGCCCTAATGGCTTGTTTGGTGAGAAGCTGTGGTTTGATTGATCTCAAAAGTTAATTATTAGATTCATTGTCTTACATGGTTAATTCGTATCTGTGTGCTGTTATGGAGGATCTGCACTGAATGCTTTAGGTGCGGTAGTATAAGACATTAAGGTTATGGTACAAGGTGGTAATGACAGACCTCCAGTCTACATTGATCGTAAAGAGCTGGATGCAGTTGACAGTTTTACCAATCTGTGATCTTCAGTTAGTAACAAACTATTGCTGGACCAAGAAATTAACATCAGGATAGGTAAGGCAGCAACAACAATGAACAGATTAACAACAAGAGTTTGGCAGAACATAAAGCTCACGATTAAAACAAAAACTCTTGTCCTTCAAGCCTGTATTCTCAGCACTCTGTTTGTTGGCAGTGAAACTTGGTCAGCTTATTCGCACCAGGAGAAACGGCAAAATAGCTTTCACATGCAATGCCTAGGAAGAAAACTTGGCATTAAGTGGCCAACACTGAGGTATTGGAAAGAGCAGGTATTGAAAAGAGCAGGTATTACGACAGTTTTCTCAATGCTCAGTCTACGAAGGCTCAGGTGGCTGGGTCACACCTGGAGAGTACAGGATGGCATCCTATAGAGGACATCCTCTGTGGTGAATTAGTGTGCATGCAGGACATGAATGATACAGGTATTGATGTGGACTCAGGGGAACAAAATGCCATGGACCGTGTTGTGTGGAGGGGGCATATAAAGAAAGGAATGAGTATAAAGGAAGAAGTGATTGCAGAAAGGGTGAGAGCTGAGCGTCTGGGAAGAAACAGACTAAACACAAATGTTGACAACAATGTTCCAGAAATCCCTTGCTATAATTGTGGAAAACTTTTCTTAACACTGGCGGGTCTTGCTAGTCACACACTGGCCACAGCACATTATAACACTATCATCTGGACAGACAGAAAGATGCTAGTGATAAGATATTGATAAGATATTGATATGATACTATATTTGCATTCTGTGATAAAAGATGACTCCGTGTGCTTGAATGTGTGGTTAAATTAAGTTTGTGGATGTGAGGAAAAGATGTAGAGAAAGAGAGAGAGAGAGAGAGATCTCAGCACACAAAAATCAAAAGGAAGAAGTCATGAAAATATATCTCAGACTATCAGTTTTTTTTTTGAACCAATCCACATGAAGTTGACAGGATATGATAACAAACCTGTCCACTTTTTAAATATGGCAGCAAACAATCAGAGGTCTTTGAAATCAAGAAAAGTTGAATTTTTGTTTTTGTTTTGTTGGCCTTCGTCTGACGCCTGATGTTTCCATTGTGTTCTGGCCTCACGATGAAGACACCACTTGTCTGAGATTGTACATCTGAACAGGGTCATTATTTGCTTTGTTCACTTATCTATTTTTTCTGATAATTTAGTACAAAGCTTCTCACACTTTGTGTAACTGCTGCTTCCTTGCTTTTCAATTCCCCTTTGTAGTGCTCCTAGACAGTGTGTGTGTGTGTGATTCTGTTATTATTGGTGGCAGGTTTTCAATAGTTTGAGAACTGTGTGAGATTATCTTTCTGTAATCTCTTGGAGGAGGCATGTAGGAGGTATGATGCGGACAGTAACAGCGATTCTTTTGATTCAAACATATTCATAACAACAGTACGTCTATACTGCCATTACAGCTGCCTTTATTGCCTGTGTTCACCCCTTTTGCGATGTAGGCTGGGGGGGGGGGGGGGGGCAGGGGGGGGGGGTCTTTGAGCCTGAAGATTCAAGTGTGTGTGGCTACGGCTGTCAGCACAGACTGTACAGGTCAGGATTTTAATTTAACCCCTGACAGAAAAAAAAAATCCCTAACCTTTCCTAGGATTGAAACCTGGGTCTCTGGCATGAGAGCACAGCGTTCTTAACCGTTCGGCCAGGTGCTCCTCACGTCTTATACACAGATGTGAAGTTCATGTATTAATCATGCACAGTCTGCTGGTGTCTGAACTTGAATAAGATATGGAAAGCTCTGAACTTGGAAAAGGTTTGGAAAGCTCTGAACTTGGAAAAGGTATGGGAAGCTCTGAACTTGAAAAAGATATGGAAAGCTCTAAACTTGAAAGAGGTATGGAAAGCTCTGAACTTGGAAAATGTTTTGAAAGCTCTGAACTTGGAAAAGGTATGGAAAGCTCTGAACTTGAAAAAGGTATGGAAAGCTCTGAACTTGAAAAAGGAATGAAAGCTCTGAACTTGAAAAAGATATGGAAAGCTCTGAACTTGAAAAAGGTATGAAAAGCTATGAACTTAACAAAGGTATGGAAAACTCTGAACTTGAAAAAGGTATGGCAAGCTCTGCCATAGCCTCCCTCGGAAGTTGTTACTTTGTTGCTGGGCTGGCACAAATTATCTACACCAGCCTCACACCAATGGATGAAAGCATCTTTTATTGGACTTGGAAGTTACACCTCAGGTCTTCCAGCAGATTCAGACCAGTCAGTCAGACCAGTGTGTGTGTGTAAGAAAGAGAGAGAGAGAGAGAGAATGAGAAAGAAGAAAGAGAGAGACCTTATGTCATTTGCACAATATCCAGCCGAGCCGCAGTCACATGTCAATTGCGCTATGGTGCTAAACTTCTTTTTTTTTTTTAAAGATCATTCAGCACTTGATGAGTTGTGAGGTCACGATCATGTCAGCCACCTTTGATTCCCAAGATATTTTCTGGTTCCCAATTTTAGGCTGGGTTGACCTGTGAGATTTATTTAGAGAAAAAACATTGCCCCAATGCAGATTTGACCCCAAGATCTTCAGGCCTCCAGACAGGTGCTTAGACACTGCACCAAGGCAGCTCCTAACTTTGAATTTAATCTACCACAGGAAAACAAAACTAACACATGGTCATGTATACTGCCCATGGAGAGGAGGAAAGGTACTAATAACTGTAGGAACCATTGATGAACCTTTGTATGAATTTTTGTGTTGGGAAAGGTTCGTAAGCAAACCTGTCGATCTGAGTTTGTCCTGATTATTTTAGGGGAAACGGGCCATGACCCAGTGCTCTCAGCAGACGCTGAAGAAAAGTGTGGATATGAAGTCCAGACTCGAGGAAGCCATCTTGGGGACTGGGAATGCCAGGACGGAAATGATGCTCAGGCGAAGGCAGAACTCGCAGTTGTCTCTGTCCGGTAAGTGTTGTTTTTTTTCTTTCTACCGGACAGTACCTGACAAATTTATTGCTTTCATTGATCCATTTGATAATCATTTAATTCATTTTCATTTCATTTTTCAGTAATTAATTCATTCACTGTTTCTTTTACTTATTCACTCTTTTATTCATTCTTTCATCTGTTCATTTATTTGTGTGTGTGTGTTGTTTCATTTATTGACTCATCATTTCATTATCTACTCACATATTCTTTAACTGATTTATTCTGCAGTTATTCAATTTTTACATGCTTCATCTTCTCATTCATTCATCCATCCATTCATTTATGTAGCCATTCATTCATGTATCCTTTCATTCACTCATTAATGTATTCACACATGTATATTTTGCTTCCCATCAGGCTTAGGTGGTTCACAGACTCCGCCCCCTAATATGGCCCCAGAGAATGCTGGGTCGAGACTGAGATGGAGGAAAGACCAGGTTCAGTGGAGGCATTCAGTTGAGCTCTATGACAGGTCTGCATATTTTTGCATTTACATTCACATTTTTAGATGAATTATTTTTTCCGTGATTCATTTGAGCTTTGTAATAGATCTGCATGTTTTCATATTTAAATTCACTTGTTTAGGTGAATTGTTCTTTTTATAGTTTTTTTTTTTTAGTTGAGCTCTGTGACAGCTCTGCTTATTTTTATGCTTACAATCACAGTTTTGGATGAAATGTTCTTTTATTAGTTATTCATTTGAACTCAAGGTCTGAATATTTTTATCGGCACTATAGAACCAGAGATAAATAATATATGAAGGAGACAAAGGGATCTGGCAGGTGATAGTGAAAAATATATTTGGCATTAATTGATTGAGGGACTAAACTAAAAATAGGCAATATATTAAAAGAGAAAAAAAAGTTGATAAAATAGGCTTAAGAGCGCTAATGTTACTGTGTGGTTGTAATGTCAGCGAGGAGTGTCTGCAGGCTCTTGATGCCAATCGAGACTCGGGGTAAAGTTTGGAAGAGTAGTTAACCAATGACAACAGGCACCATTCTGTATGGTAACTCTCCTCACTGGCTGTTGAGGAGGGAGATGTAGCTATTGTGAGCTTGTCCTGAATGGTGTGATGTCGAGTCTGTAACCAGATGAACCAGTTATTTATTGCTTATATTCAACAGCCCCAGACCCCAAGAACATGAGCTGGAGAGTCAGGACGAGGGTAGCTTGGCCGCTGAGGTCAGTTTGATCTGTCTGGACAGCCTGGAACTCATCATTCAGGTGAGGTCATCTGAGACATTTTTCCAGCCTCCCCAAATATAAGAGTTGCATTTTTATATTTGTGCTTTCCTGTGAAGTCGGAGGGCATCTGCTTGAGAAGCAAGGAATCAGCATAAAATAAGCCAGATCTGTATAATAGATTCACACAAAACTCAAGTTCTGAAACAGTACTAAAGTCCAGAAGTGGACGAGCAAGGGATGATGCTGCATGGGTGATACATAATATCTGCAGTACTGCCCAGGATTTGTACTATTGACTTTTTCTTCACACGAGCAGGTATTGCTAGTAAGTCTTGCCAACGCCGTAGATTTATTTGCATGCCTGCCTGCCTATTGCACAGTGTGACACTATCAGCTAGCTCAAATTACTTACTTTATTTACTTGCAAACATGTGCAACATATTTCTTAGAAAATAAGACCTACCTGCTTCGATTTTAAATAAAGAAGCAGAATTTTGGTACCAGCTATTTCTTGAAACCTTTGTGCGTGCCATTGCTGTTAAGGTTCATAAATATTTTTTTTTAATCCAGAAAAAAATAAATAAGACATCCCCAGAAAATAAGTAATGTTGCATTTGAAGCATAAAATGCTAGATATATATGTATAGACCATTCAGATTTCATTGGTGATGTTGTCAACCTTGTGCCAACTGCCTTCACTCCCATCTAGCACCCATTTAAGGTCGGGTCGATCTGGGAGCCAATATAAATTTGGAGAAAAAAAAATCGTAATATGGATTTGAATTATAGACCCTTATGCTGGCAGGCAAAAGCATCAGTCACTACACCACCTCCCTGTGTGTGTTCCAGGGCCCCATTGTGAGTGACAAAAGAATAGTCTCACTCCCCCCCCCCCCCCCCCCCCCCCCCACTCCCCCCTTCCCACAAGCATGTAGCAAAAGCTGACTAATCACGGGTGTTTTCTTTCGAAGTCAGAGTGCATCTTCTGTCTGAGAGGTGAGGAACCAACAGTCTGCATACGGAAATAAGCCAGATCTGCCAAATGGATGATCACACAAAACTCAGGTTCTGGAAAAAGACTAAATCTCCAGAAGTGGACAAACAACTAGAAATCCTCCAGAGTTTGTAGCTGGCAAACTCAAATCAGAAAAAGACTACCTCACCATGGCTCATGTGTAGCTACATGTTTTATACAATTCTAGTTTGTTTAGTTTGTTTCATTTTCTCTCTCTCTCTCTGTCTCCCTCTCTCTGTCTCTCTCTCTCTGTCTCTCTCTCTCTATCTCTCTCTCTATTTTCTCTCTCTCTCTCTGTCTCTGTCTCCCTCTCTCTCTCTCTCTCTCTCCCCCCCCTCTCTCTCTCTCTCTCTCTCTCTCTCTCTCTCTCTCTCTCTCTCTCTCTCTCTGTCTCTCTCTCTTTGCGTGGATGGGTAGAGTTTTAAGTTCAGCACATTTGAAGATAAAAGCTTTAAATGATTCAGATACATCTACTAATGATCAATTTGCTATATATTTTCCAGATAGCTCAAAATTCAGAGACCTTGCATCCACTGTTGGGCAGTTCTTTGAGAGTCCTGCTTCACTTGCTGTCTCTCAACCAGAGTTCACCGGTCCTGCAGCATCTGTTTGCCACACAAAGAGCCTTAGTTACAAAGGTAGGCTTGATAATGGTTGGAAATTTGGTTATTTTTTCTTCTTCCTACTCTTCTTCTTCCTATTCTTTATCTTCTTCTTTTTCTTCTTTTTTCTGTATTTACCCTTAAAAGTATGTTTAGCACATTGTGTTGTTGTTTATAGCTATGCTGTGATATCTGGGCCTTTTGTCCCAAACCATCCGGTTTAAGAAAATCCTGAATTAGTCATTTAAAAAAAAAAAAAAAACACTTAATGGCAGTGGGTCTATTCTCTCCATCAGGAAATGAACTAACTTGTTCATATGTTTTGGTTCCTGTAGTTTTAGTTGTTGATAAAGACTTTGTTGGAAATGTGTCTGCATATCAGTGTGTTTGTTACTTCAGGGTAGTTTGATTTTTTTTAAAAAGTGTAAGCTGTTTATTATTTTAGTGTAAATTGTTTTTAAAAATTTTCATTATTTTATTATTTCATGTTTATGTCCATGTGTCTAGTTTCTAGATTTGCTGTTTGAAGAGGAGACGGAACAGTGTGCAGAACTGTGTTTGCGCTTGCTGCGTCACTGTAGCTCCCCCATTGCTGTCACACGGTCTCAGGCCTCCGCTTCCTTGTACTTGCTGATGAGACAGAACTTCGAGCTTGGCAACGTAAGTTGTGTTCTACACTGTCACCTTGATACATCGTCTCACCTTGATACATCGTCTCACCTTGATACATCGTCTCACCTTGATACATCGTCTCACCTTGATATATCGTCTCACCTTGATACATCGTCTCACCTTGATACATCGTCTCACCTTGATACATCGTCTCACCTTGATACATCGTCTGACCTTGATACATCGTCTCACCTTGATACATCGTCTGACCTTGATACATCGTCTCACCTTGATACATCGTCTCACCTTGATACATCGTCTCACCTTGATACATCGTCTCACCTTGATACATCATCGAAGCTGTGAAATCTTCTTTGCTCGCCATTACAGTGGCAGTTGGCATGTCATGTTGTGGTTTAGAGCTTAGCTGTGATATCTGAGCCTTTCGGGCAGAACACAGCTGAATTCCTCAAACCCATAATTAGTCAGAGTTTGCAAAATACTTGTTACATGGCATTAGGTCTATTCCCCCTTCTTCCCCCATCCCTCACAACGGGGTCCAGGAACCCATGCGGGGAGAAGTTGTGAAATAGATATGTGACTTTTCCCCTTAGTAAAGACTGGAGCAAGGACAGGTCATTGTCACATTTAATCATTATTATCTGAATGGAATGTCTAATTGACAAAAGGGGTTGTAACTTTGCCTTATGAAACTGTGATTGAGTGTATAACTGTGAGTGTGTATATGTAAAGTGATTAACTGTGGTTGAGTAATGCAGTTATTTAACTGATTGGGTGTATCTAAAGGTTTGACTGGTTGATTTATGTACATTGATTAACTGTGATTGAGTGAGTGTATGTAAAGTGATTAGGTGGATACAAGAATATGTGTATTAAATAAACAAGGTATGCACAGATGGATAAAGGATGGGGACGCATGGATAAAAGAAGGATGATAAATTCTAAACAGGGGAAAAGATGGTAGGAATAAAAAGGAGACACAGATAAAAGAAGGAAGCATAACATGTGTTAAAGACGGTGATATCAGTAGAAGAGCTTTTACCAGGAAGTCTGTTCTACAAAATGTAGAAGTTCTTATAAGGACCAGAAAATCTATTCTAAACAAAATAAAAAATCTTGTGAGTACTAGGAATCTGTTCTACATAAAGTGAAAAAGCTTTTAAATACACTATAGCCTTGACTCAGACCTATGCGACAGGACCATCACACTTACAGCCACACAAAAAATTCATGAAAGTAGTAAAGAAAAAAAGATAACTACATTGGTAGCATCATAAAGTTCCTGGAACTGTTGTCTAGAGGGCGACAGAGTCTAGACATCCGGTATAGATTGCATTTTTGTGTTTTAGGAAATGTTTATAAACCGTTTGAATGAGAAGAGTGAATGAGAAGAGTGTTGGAAAATATAAATTTGACTTATGACCAGTTTGACTTCCAAATGTTAGTCGGAATGGAACTTGGTTGCAAGTTAAGGACACCCTGTACTGGGAATCTGTTCTCTAGAAAGTAGAAGAGTTTGAGATATTAGAAAATCTCTTATTTAGAAAGTAACAGAGCTTATAGGTACTGGTAATCTGCTATACAGAGAATACATGAATTAGATGAGCCACCGTGGTGAAGTAGCTAGACACTCGCCTGCGGATCCGAAGGTTGTAGGTTCAGGTCCTGGCTGAGTTTGACCTTTTTCCCTTCAGAAATGACCTTGACTGCCAGGTCGACCCAGCCTTAAATGGGTACCAGATAAAGTCCAGGGAAGTAAAAGCAGCCAGTGTGATGTTGACCGTGTCACCCACAGAGTGCCGATGGGTCTGTAAAATATATGTCTAGCCTCATATGCCCAATACACCTGAAGGCGTGGAAAAGGGTCCTTTACTTATGTGAGCTCCCAGTATGGGTCCTGGGACCCCATGGTGAGGAAAACCCACTGCCTCCGCAACAAGCATGTCTTAAGAGTCAACCAGTTGGGGGGCTTCCTTCGAAGTCAGAGTGCATCTGCCTCAGAGGCAGGTAGTCAACAATCTGCTTTCATTTAAGTCTGATCTGTTAAACAGATGTGCACACAACACTCAAGTTCTGAAACAGGACTGCAGTCCAGAGTCGGACAAACAACCAGAATTTTCCGTCGGAGTTTAGAGCCAGTGATCGCGAAGAAGAAGCAGAGGAGATTGTGAGCACTTGAAAATGTATCTACAGAAAATACTTGAAGTTGAAGAAGAGCATGTAAATGCTTTTAGTTATTGCCATCCACAGAACTTTGCCCGCGTGAAGATGCAGGTGACGATGTCCCTGAGTTCGTTGGTTGGCCAGAACCAGACTTTCAATGAGGAGTTTCTACGTAAATCCCTCAAGACAATCCTGACTTACGCTGAGGCAGACCAGGACTTGGAGAACACCTCTTTCCGAGAACAGGTAGGTGAAGTGTCCTTTTTCTTTAGTAACAACATGAAGTAGTGCCTAACCAGCCAGTCTGCCTGCCTGTTCATTTTCTAACACACGTGCATGACCTTGATAAAATATCCAAAGATTGCTGACTACGGTCACCCTCTGAAGCGAAGTTTGTCATTCTGCAGATAGCATGACTGTCTTCATTTTTTGCATCATACTTTGTGAGTCTTTTGCAATCACATGTGTATGGAGCTGATACTATAGTCAGCAGAGAGCTGCAGTGACCGCCTCCACCTCTATTCTCATACTTCATGATTCATGTTTTTTAAAACCTTTTTTTTAATGATATTCTGTGTTAATTCTAGCGGTGATATTCTCAAAGTCCCTATTTTAGACCATGCAGCATCATTTCTCTGTCTGCCTCTGTTTCTTCTGCTGTTGACCATTCCAGTTGTCACAGTATTTGTAAATGTTCTTCATCTTGGCACTTCTAGCACGTGATTATTCATTTTGCTAGGTTTTCATTTTTTCTGTGTACTTCTAGTGACTGTTTTAATTAAGCAGAGGGGTTTAGAAGTTTCATCTCTGTGCCTCCTTCAAATTTAAACAGACCTGAAGAAGTTAGTCTTAAAAGAAATAAAAAAAGACAGAAAAGTTAAGGGAAATATTGACAATTGTTGTTTTAAAGATTGTAACCTTATTTGCACTGGGTTGTCATCTTTTTGCTCTTACACGGTGCACCATATTTTGTGGGCACATTTGAATCAGGAGCTGTTTTGCCATTTGAACATTGTTGTGCAGTGTGAGCAGATGAATGAATGAATAAAGAACTTTATGTTCAGAGGGTTAAAAATTGGGCATGTAGGTTTTATTCTCCCTCCTTTCATACGTCATTTCATTCATACTCTCTTCACACTTAATAGTAAACAGCAACAGCAGCCACATATCAAATACAAGCCCAGGAATGTGCTTGAACTGCACGTATATTTCTAACCACAGTAAACCATAGTAATTGTAATAAATCTAGGGGAAGTATACCCCGTTTAAAAAAAAAAAAAAAAGCATGCATTTTTCATATCTTCTGCCAGTTTAATTTTTGTTTATCATAATTTCTTAATCAACACAATTACTCAACATACATCCTTTCCTGGTGATCACAATTAATGTATATAACTCTCTTTTACGCTATGTTCTATATCTTCAAATACGATAACTGTCTTCCTCAAACTCTGGTACGTGACTGACCAAGAGCCAGCTTCTGGCTTTTACTCATTCTTCTCACCAGCCCCGAGTATCATGTGTCGTCGTCTCTTGCATGGGTTTTCTGCTCGGCTGGCTGTGAGCGTGGGCCACCATGCAAAGTAGGGTCCTCACTCAAGCGATGACTGGATGGAATATCTGAAACCGTAAGAGCTGACATCTGTGTAGCACATACCAAGGCCAGAACCCCATGATACCTCTTCAAAACCCAATGATGCCTCTTCAAAACCTGATAATACCTCTTCAAAACCTGATGATACCTCTTCAAAACCTGATGATACCTCTTCAAAACCTGATGATGCCTCTTCAAAACCTGATGATGCCTTTTCAAAACCTGATGATTCCTCTTCAAAACCTGATGATGCCTCTTCAAAACCTGATGATGCCTCTTCAAAACCTGATGATGCCTCTTCAAAACCTGATGATGCCTCTTTAAAACCTGATGATGCCTCTTCAAAACCTGATGATGCCTCTTCAAAACCTGATGATACCTCTTCAAAACCTGATGATGCCTCTTCAAAACCCGATGATGCCTCTTCAAAACCTGATGCTGAAAGTCTGAACACAGCTAGAGTAGGAGAAGAAGAAGAAGAAATAAGGCTGTTGATTATTGTCCTGTGATGTGTAGATGCAGTACTGAATGTGTTTTTCCCCTATGTATCCCCAGGTTCGAGACCTTGTGTTCAACCTACACATGATCCTGTCTGACACTGTCAAGATGAAGGAGTTTGCAGAGGACCCCGAGATGCTGCTAGATCTCATGTACAGGATTGCCAAGGGCTACCAGAACTCCCCGGACCTCAGACTAACCTGGCTGCAGAACATGGCTCGTGACCACAGCAAGGTCAGTGGGGGATTGTGGGAGAGTTCTCTGGGGTAGCAAGTAAATTTAAAACATTTAGACACCTGCCTGCGGATTGGAAGGTCGTGGGTTCGCATTCTGACAGAGCCTGAATTTTTTTTCTTTTGAGTGGGTACCAGGTGCAGTCCTGGGAAGTAAAGGCGGCCGATGTGATGCCGATTGGGCTACAAAAAATATATAGGTCTAGTCCTATATTCCCATTACGCCTAAATGCGTGGAAAAGGGACCTTTACTTTTACATAAAGTCATACGATATAGGGTTCTATAGGATGAATACAATATTGTTTAAACTGATGTAAATAAAAATATGGAGGCATATGGAGAGTTATTATATTGTTATATTTTTGCAATATAGCGAGGAAACCATGCCGAGGCTGCCCAGTGCCTGGTCCATGCTGCTGGTCTGGTGGCCGAGTATCTAAACATGTTGGAGGACAAGCCTCACCTTCCTGTTGGATGTGTGGCTTTTGAGGTGAGCTCGAACACATGTTGAATCATTATTTATAAATGAAGTTTATTCTTGCCAGGTACATTTAGCAGGGGAAGAGAAAAGCCAAACAGCTTATCTTTCCAAATTGGTAGGATCAGAATAGTGTCAGAGAGTTATGATAATAGCTAAAGACACCCTCATCCAGTAGAGAGACTTCTGGTAAATGTAGCAGATCGCAGTCTGACTATTTGTAGTCGTGGCAAGTTTTTCAAATTTTAACAGTAGTTTGCCTTTAGATTTTCATCCATTGAAAGGATAAAGTTTCGTGGCCCAGCTACTGAGATGATTGCATGGCATGACACTGTGAGCTGTGGATTTAATTTGGAATGCTCTTAGACTGCACAAACATGGTTTGTGTTGTGAACTGCAGATTTTGAAAATTGTAATATTTTGCAGAGAATCGGTGGTGCTTTATGCGATGAAATGCCTGTGCAACTACTGATCTGTTGTATTGCGGCTTCCATCGACGATTAACTGCATTTCTAATGCCTGAAATTTTGTGTTGGCACTTCTGTTGGCTGCCTTATGCATTTGATGCATGTGTATACTGTTGGCTTTGCCCAGACTGCAGTCTGTGTCGGTGCTTTCACAAGTGGCAATGATGGATATTCTGTATGGTTTTTGTTGGCACAGGAATGGAGCACCTATGGGGTGATCCCTTTACTATGAAGCTGTAACTGCGATTGCCTGATTAACTGATTACCTGAAAGACTGAGACACTGTTGTGAATACCTGATAGAATTGATCCAGAATACCAAGAAGCAGGTTTTATGGAGAGACGTGATGCCGTCTTTCAAATCACATGGTGATGATTTTAAGCACCATTGGACATGTTCAGTATACAGGGATAATAAGATACTGATACTAAATACAACAAAGTCCATGGCTAGAAAACCTCACTGGACAAGGCAACAGAACTTATAAACTGCCACTGTCAAAGTGAAACCAGAAATACATAATAAGAGAAAATATGGACATGAAAATCCTATTGACTCTGATGAAAGTCCATTCTGATAGCTTGATCATTGAATATTTTGTCTGTGTTTGTTTATTTAAGATTTTGAATGGTGATTTGTTTACAGAAAATCACTCCTAATGTTTTGGAGGAGAGTGCAGTGTCTGATGATGTTGTTTCTCCCGATGAGGAAGGCATATGTACCGGAATGTACTTCACAGAGAATGGCTTGGTTGGGCTCCTGGAGCAGGCTGCAAGTTCTTTCAATATGGTTAGTGGTGATTCTTTTCTGCTGTGTCTATTCAGTTGTGTGAAGCTTACCATTTTTCAAGGTTTCGGTTCTTTCCTTAAAGAACAAGCAAATTTCGGTGTCTGGTTATTGGGTCATACTTAATCCTCCATACATTGTGATTACACAGACTCAGATAGATTCATATAGAGAGAAAGGGGCATAGTTTTGAAGAAGTATTAGGTGAGAGCGTGGGTCTGTGCTACATGGGTGCTCGTATTTATGACCTCAGATGTTCCATCTATCTATCGCTTGCATGGTCGACCTCTGGATTTGCTTCCATTATGTCTAAGTGGCAGGGCTCTCTGCGGTGCACTGTCTGCTGTTAGTTTTGACAAATGTCCAAACCATTTGATCTGTTGTCTTTTGATGTTGTTAAATACTGGTTTGGAAGGTTGTATACAAATTTGAATTTTGAGTACATTTCCTGTAATTGAAAATAAAAATAATCTGCACAAGACAGATATTTAAAAAGTATTTGAAAATGTGATGTGTTTAAAAAATTTTTTTTTTTTTCTCCTGTATCCTCTGTTAGGCATGTATAAACAGTAACACACCAAGTCATTCTGTTTTTGGCCACCTGGCTTTATCCATACCCTCCCCTTATTATTTTTCCCCGTTTCTAATTTTCTTCCCCATGTGTCTTAGGTTTTCTAATAATTAATTTACAAGTGGTTTCTCTAGAAATAGCTATTTATTATTGTTACTACCATATTTTCTTAACATGGATCAAAAGTTAAGTGTGTTTAAACACAAATGCCTATAAAAATCTAGGTTCAGTGAGTGGGATGAACTCAAGAAAAGCAAAGAAATAAGAGAAATGTCTTAACTAGTATCAACAGTATAGAATAAAGAAGATGGCGATATATTGGTCACATCCTGAATAGAAGTGGACAGAGAATCACCAAACAGGGAAGGAGATGGACTCAGGAAACAAGGACATTGAAAGGAAACTCTTGAGATGAATGTTGGTGAGAGAGGCCAAAGGTGCTGGGGTGAATTCCGTCCATGATATTGAAACAGTTGCTTAGGATAGAACAGAGTAGAGGAATAAACTGGGAGCCCTGTCTGATGTACAGCGATAGCTGAACTCACCCCACACACGAAGAACTGAACTGAAGGATCCTTGGTGGCACAAGCGAGTGCAATCGAGTGGTCGGTTCCAGAACTGTGCTCTAGGGGTAGTGTTCCAAACTTTAGACCTTCCCCTCTCTCTTGTACATATATTATTAATGTGTAACGTATGATTCAAGGATATATTTTCGAATGAATGGTTTTGACAAGTATCTGTCCATGAAGAACCCACAACAGTCATACTATTTTATTTCACATACTCTTGCTGGTTTAAATTTAATGATTATTTGTTATTATTAATAATTGTTGTAGTCTTCTTTGAGAGCGTGCATCTTCCCTGTGGCTAAATACGGATGTGAGTCGTGGACTATCTCTCAGTCCTTAAGAAAGAGAATATGGGCTTTTGAGCTGAAATGCTATAGATTGATTCTCAGAATATCTTGGACAAAGAAGATGAGAAATATTGGCATCTTAAAAGAACATCAAGGAAGATTGGCTAATAAACAGCATCCTTTCTCGAAAGCTGAAATAATTTTGGTCATATCAAGTGCCACGACGGATTGGAAAAAATTATAACAGAAGGCATGGTACCAGGAAGAAGGGGCAGGGGCCGACCGACACGAACATGGGCACAGGATATAAGTGACTCCTTGAGTATGAAAGTGCATGAGGCAGGAGAACTGGCGAGAGACCGAGTTTCTTTGAGGCAGACTGTGATGAGAGCGACATTCTACAAAGGACCTGCTACATGATGATGAGTCTTCTCCATGTCTCTGATCCATAAAACTGTACTGATGTCGTGTTAGTGTTAAATATTCTAATATTGGTAAGTGAAAGTAAGTAAAAGACCTTTTCCACACCTTCAGGCATATTGGGCATATAGGGCTAGACCTATATTATATATAACAATCTGCACTTAGTGGGCGATATGGTTAACATCACACCAGCCGCCTTTATTTCCCAGGACTTTACCTGGTACCCACTTAAGGCTGGGTCAACCTGGAAGCCAATATCAACTAAAAAGAAATGTTAAAAAATGGCTCCGCCAGAACCCAAACCTGCGACCTTTGGATCTGCAGGCAAGAGACAAGCTGCACACCACGGCAGCTGCCATTCTAATATTGGGACTAGGTTTAATTTCTTTTGACAAATTGAAAAGTGTTAAAAAAGTTGCTCTTGCTTTTGCTGTCACCCCCCCCCCCCCCCCCCCCCCATCTTTACCTACATTGTTTCCTGAGTATGTGTATAATTCTGTTGCTGGAAAATATAACTGCTGATATATTTCAGGCAAGCATGTTTGAGGCTGTCAATGAAGTCTACAAACTGATGATCCCCATCTACGAACACAACCGTGACTACAAGAAACTGGCACACGTACACCAAAAACTGCACGAAGCTTTCACAAATGTCACGCGCCAGGAAGGCAAGAGAATCTTCGGCACTTATTTCAGAGTTGGCTTCTATGGGGCCAAGTTCGGAGACCTCAACGGGGAGGAGTTTATCTACAAGGAGCAGATGATTACAAAACTACCGGAAATTTCACACAGGTTAGAGGTGAGTGGAAGCACTTGCCGTTTGGAAAGTTCTAGAATCATATGTTAAAATGTAGGATCTAATTATTCAAGGGGGCTTCATATGCATGTCAAAAGGTGGTAGCCATCTTTAAACTGTCATTATGACTTCACTGTTTGTCTGGTCCATGATGACATATGCTTAACAATCTTGACATCCTTAACAACAGTATTGACAGGTTACAAAATATTGGCATGGTCATTGTAACTTCTATGAAATCTTTTAAATTTTGGGTTCCCTCGTATTTCGACTAGTAGCTGTTGGTAAAGAAATAATGTGGCAGACGCTAAGTCTGATCCCTGTTTCCACTCTGTAAAGTAAAGTTGCTAGCGTGTTGACGCACTGATCCATGTTTTTGTTGTTCTTCTCTGCTTGCACCCTTAAAAAAGGTCTTGGCACATTATGTTGTGGTTTAGAGCTAACTGTGGCATCTGCACTTTTTGATCTGACGAGTTGGATTTCAGCCAGTCCCTGATTAGTTGTCTTTTACATCTTTGTTAGCATGGAGGAGACTATGGGTCTATCCCCCCCCCCCCCCAACCCTCTCTAAAATGGGGCCCTGGAACCCACACAGGAAGTGGTCTGAGTTCAAACCCCCAGCAGTGGCAGGATTATCCCTGACCAGTACAGTTCTGAGCTCGATCCAAAGAAAAACAATTGTACCAGATAATTTCTAGAATATTCTGAGAGTTTCTTGGAGGAATGAAATTATCATTCAGTCAAGAATTGACATCACAGCACTCGGGACATTCCTCAGCATGCTCAGTCCCCTTATTCAGTAGCCAGCGAAGAGTCGACTTGCTAATAGTACCAGTGGCAACTTGATTGAAAGTCTGCCTGTGTTTCTCCGTCAGTGTTGAATAACTCCCAGCACTGGAGGACAAACAGTGAGGAAGGGAGATGGCAGTCCCACATCCTAGGGGGGCTGAGTGGTCTTGAGGCATGGCGTCCGCCTCGAGTACTGGAGATCCCGGGTTCAGGCCCCAATGAAGGCTGGGATTTTTGTCACGGGGTCTTCTTGTAATTTTCCCTGGTTTCTGGGTAGTAAGATCGGACGCCCATGTGTAATGTTGCGCATGCAAAAATCCCTTGGCAGTTGGAAATCGAAAAGAATAGCCTGACGGCACTGCCAGGACAAAATTTTGAGTTTAAAATGTATCCAAAATATTTCAGATTCCTAGCCGGTGTATGGAGTTCGTGCGCTGCACTGAGATTCTTCAGACTCAGGCTTGAGTTAGAAGTATAAGGGAGCACTTATGACTTATTTGTGCCATGATGTTGATCCGTTGTTTAAACCTAAACCTCATATGTTGTGTCCTAGAATGCTTGAAGACCGGACACTTCACACCCCAGTGGCAGTATCTTTTATTGGGCTCCCCTGAAGGGGTTCTGGGGCCCCATCTCTAGGAATTAAGATTAGACCCTCTGCCCCCTTACAGGTTTGTCATAAAGGGTGACTAACTAGGGGTATTGTCTTAGAAATTGGTATACATCTGCCAGATTGGCTTTTACTAATTTCCTCTGCCTGTTTGTATATTCAGAGCTTCTACAGTGAGAGATTTGGACACGAGTTTGTGGAAATTGTCAAGGATTCGAACACTGTGGAGAAAGATAAACTAGATCCAGAAAAGGTGATAGTTGTTGTTCTGTTGAAGTTTATGTTGTTATACTGTTATTTTGTCTGTCCCTTTGTTCTTGATTTATTCTGCCTGTCACTTTTTTTGTTTCATTCTGTTTGTCACTTTGTTCTTTTTTTTCCCCCACTTTTATTCAGCTTGTCGCTTTGTTCATGTTTCACATTTATTTTGCCTGTCACTTTGTTTTTATTTTACTTTTATTCTTTTCTACATGTTACTCATGTTCTTGTTTCACTTTTATTCTGTCTGTTATATATTACGTGAAATCACCAATGAAAACTTTTTGCATTAATTTATATTTATTTTCTTTTAATAATTTTGTTTTTGTCCAAAACCTATTGGTGTTACCTTTCCTTTGGAGTTAACAAGGCAGCCCCAGCGAGGGATCATGCTGCGTGGGCAACACATTGTCTCTACCCAACTGCCCAGTCGTTGTTCTGTGGGGAGGGATATTTTATCACTGGCCTTAATTGGTATCACCATAGGCTGTGGTTGCCATTCCTCTTTATTGCACAGTTAAACAGTGTCGTATGGAAATGTCCTGAATTTTAAAAATGATATTATATATAAAATATTTATAAAATAGGGCAGTCGCCGTGGCCGAGCGGCTAGACGCTCGTTGCGGATCAGAAGGTCGTGGGTTCGCTCCCTGGCAGAGGCGGACTGTTTTCAATAATGACCTTGACTCCCTGGTCGACCCAGCCTTGAGTGGGTACTGGGTGCAGTCCCGGGAAAGTAAAGGCGGCTGGCATGATGCTGACCACATCACCCATCTTGTGCCGATTGGTCTATAAAAATATAGGTCTAGCCCTATATGCCCTATACGCCTTAAGGCGTGGAAAAGGGACCTTTACTTTTTTTACTTTTACTTATTTAGAAAACAAGAAGAAACCAAGTTCTGCTAGCAATTGAGGAAAAATAAAAACAATTTTATTGTGTGTGTTCAAAGTCATGATTTATGCTGATTCACTGAGTGTTGTATCTTTCAGGCTTACATTCAGATTACATACGTGGAGCCATACTTTGATTTGTATGAGTTCAAGGAGAGAATCACATACTTTGACAAGAACTACAAACTTAGTAAGAGTCTGTGTTCATGTAAAACATATTATGCTACCGAGACTGTAGGATAATTGATCTTGGATGGATGAGTGGGTGGATTGATTAATAAATGGATGGATAGATAAGATGTAAATAAGCTATTATTGATGTTTAGAATTATACTGTCTACTAACATATCACTGTGTTTATCTGTGTCTTTGTCCCTTCAACACTACCAGCTACCTGACTGCAAGCCAACTATCTGTCTGATGTAGTACTGTATTTCCCAAATTATAAGATGACTCTTTGTGTACGACACACCTTCAGTCTGAGACCAGAAATGTTGAGAAAAAAGTTTTTGAACTCACGTTTTATTCATCAAAGAATCCAGAAGACTCCTCATAATCGTCAACACTCTCATCCATATTTCATCCAGTTCTTTAGCTTGTTCTCATCTTTGTCTGTTGATGATATCTTAATATATTACCTTATTGTCAGTTCCATCTGTGGCATTTGAAATGCCAGATTTCTTGAATGACTTGATTTCACCCAGGTACAAACTCTTCCTATAGTTGGTTTCTTCACACTATCTGCTGGTGTCAGATTGTCCCTAGATTCTCAAACTATGCGCAGCGTGAGCCCCGAGGACCTGCGACCTCTCCGCAGGGGCGCCGCAAAATATTCGAAGATACACAATTATTTAATTAAAAAAAAAAAAAAAAAAAAAAATCTCTTACATACGAATAGTCATACTTTCACTTAGGTTAGGGCGGCATGGAAAAATTTTGTATTTAAAAAAAGGCGCTGCGACAAAGACAAGTTTAGGAAACACTGCTCTAGACAATTTCATCTTTTGGTTCTATCCGTCTTTCATGGGAACTTTTTTATATTGTCCCTGAACTGTGACTCCCAGATGAGGCCCTGTACTAGAAATTTTTTTGTTAAAATCATGTTGTAAAAATCTGCTACTATTGTACATGACACACCCAGGCATGCCTACTCAGTGATCCGGAGGGTTCAGGCAGGTTCGGTGTGGTCAGTTACTTGAGCCGTTACAGAAGTCCACTGTAGGTGGAGTCACCTTTATTTTCATTCTGGAACATGCGGAAAGGTTGACTGGATCTGCTATCACTACCGAGGGTCAACCTATAGATCCTGCTGGTATTATTAATGCCCTCCAAGAAATGGGAAAGGGCCAGTGAATCCACATCACTCACCAGAATCATAGACTTGGGAGGTAAAATCGGCATAGCAAAAAAATGAAACGCACACTAGGCACATCAGAGGACTTGTTAATCGACATAGAACTGGTACTATTACCCACTGGATGCTGAAGTTCAACACTGAGTGGTGGATGTGAGCATCTATGGACTCGTCTGCAGTGCAGTGATAATAACCCAAGTAACTAACTAACATACTGTTTTTCAGACCCTGTATTTTGAGAAAATAAGTGCTTTTTATTCTTGGGGAATCACAGTAAGTTATCTGACTGTTGATTGATGTGTATGGACTAGTGATTTATGTCTTGCTGTGTGTCATAATGTGCCTACACTCAACCCACAGAACGGTTCATTTATGCAACACCCTTCACCCTGGACGGCCGAGCTCATGGGGAGCTGAGCGAGCAGTACAAGCGCAAGACGGTGCTCACAACAAACCATTTCTTCCCCTACATCAAGACCCGAGTCTCGGTGATAGAGAGGCAACAGGTAAGTTATGCCAGGTGCTCAAATTTTCCATGTGTGTCTTCATCATCATCTTGTGCCATGCTGATGCAGGGGGGCTGCCATAGATCTCCCATGATTGACAGAATATCAAAGCAGAGTCCTCAAGTTGTAAGTTTGAACAAAGAAGACACAGATGACAGATTGTACAGTTTATTACCTGACAGATATTGGGGTATCTTTGTGTGACTAGTTTCCACCTGTGGGTTCAGAGCCCTCTGGGTTGGAGGGGGAAATAGACCCACAACGCCTATGAAAAGCAACTAACTAGGAGTTTGTTGAAGTTTAATCTGTTGAGCCGAAAGCGCACAGTTCGCTGCCCAGCTGTAAACATTCTGCCAGCCGCCCTTTACAGGGTTATCATAGAAGAAGAAGTTGAGTTGAGACAAAAACCGACATCACTGCACTTGAGACATTCTCATGCATGCTCCGTCCTTATATTCAGCAGCCAGTGAATAGTCCCTATTCTGATGGTTAGTTAGTTGGGTATTCTTTACAGGAAGTTGCAGAACCAACCCCAACATTTTTGGCCATTTGTGGTTTCACTAGGCAATTTTAGATTCAATAGTTTGTCATTGCTTACTGAATTTTCTTCTCTCAGTATCACTGCCGAAACCATTGCAGTGATGGTACCAGTAAGAAATGGTTTATGCTTTTGGTTTCAGGTAATCCTGTCGCCGGTAGAAGTGGCTATAGAAGATATACAGAAGAGGACCAGAGAACTAGCGCTGGCCTTGTTACAGGAACCGCCTGACACCAAGATATTGCAGATGGTTTTACAGGGTTGCATCGGCACAACGGTCAATCAGGTACTTTTGTCTTGTCACTTGCATGGCGCAGATTACGCATTATTCTGCATAGATAACGCAGCACGTGAGGTAAACTCATTTCTCAGCATAAACGTAATAACAAATGACAAATTACATATCACGTGACACAAATCACACATCGCATGACACACCACTTGACACAAATTACACATCACATATCACAGATTACATATCACAGTCTAAAACATCACCGCTTGACAAACATTCCACTCCACCAGTCTAAAATATATTTCCTAGGCAAATGTAAAATGTCATAGCAGGTCTAAAACATCTTAGAAAGTCTAATACCATCTTAGCAAGTCTAAAACATCTTCACTTGACAAGTCTAACACATCTTTACATGGCACATCTAAAGCATTTCGGCAAGACTAAAACATCTGCTTTTGACAAGTCTAAAACATTTTTCACTTGACACATCTTCACTAGTTGAAAACATCTTCACTTGGCAAGCCTAATACATTTTCACTTGATAAGTCTAAAACATCTTCACTTGACATGCCTAATACATCTTCATTTTGACAAGTCTAAAACATCTTCACTTGACAAGCCTAATACATCTTCACTTTGACAAGTCTAAAACATCTTCACTTGACAAGCCTAAAACATCTTCACAAATTAAAAGCATCTTTGCTTGACAAGTCTAAAATATCTTCACTTGACAAGTCTAAAGCATGTTGGCAAGTCTAAATATTATGAATTAATTGAGTAACAGAAAGTGTATTGATCGGCACTCATAGAAAGAAGTAGAAAGATAGAACACACTAGACAACATAAAAATCGAAAGCTATGAGTGCCGATCAATACACTTTCTGTTACTCGATTAATTCATAATATTTAACGGCCTCAAAGGTTCCCCCTCTGTTTATTTATTGGCAAGTCTAAAACATCTTCGCTTGACAAGTCTAGTGCAGTTTGGCAAGTCTAAAACATCTTCACTTGACAAGTCTAGTGCAGTTTGGCAAGTCTAAAACATCTTCGCTTGACAAGTCTAGTGCAGTTTGGCAAGTCTAAAACATCTTCGCTTGACAAGTCTAGTGCAGTTTGGCAAGTCTAAAACATCTTCACTTGACAAGTCTAGTGCAGTTTGGCAAGTCTAAAAAATCTTCACTTGACAAGTCTAGTGCAGTTTGTCAAGTCTAAAGCATCTTCACTTGACAAGTCTAGTGCAGTTTGGAAAGTCTAAAACATCTAGTGTGTGTCTCTTGCTCAGGGTCCCCTGGAAGTGGCACTAGTCTTCCTGAGTGATATTGCAGAAGGGAAGCAGTCTCCTTCGAAAGCTCACACCAAACTCAGGCTCTGTTTTAAAGACTTCATCAAAAAGTGAGTACCTTCATGCTTTGTATATGATGTATGTTTGAGTGTGTATGTGTATTATATGTATGTGAGTGGGTGCAGTATATAGGAGTGTTTAGTAAGTAAGCTTCTTGGATATGCATGAGTGTTGTATGGTATGTCTGTGTGTCTGTATGTATCAGCATCTCTCTCTCTCTTTATGTATCTGTGTGTGCACATGTGTGAGTGAGTGAGAGAAAAAGTTTGTGAGATTGTGTGTGTGAGAGAGTCAGTCAGTGAGTGTGCGATTGACAGAGAGAGAGAGGGTGTGTGTGTGTGTGTATGTGTGTGTGTGTGTGTATGCATGTGTTTATGAATTGTGGGTATGTAAGATTGTCTATGTGGGTATAAGTGTATGCATGAACTGCTACTAATCCCATTTTCCTTTGGATTTGATTGTTGCTGATCTTCTTTCTTCTTGATATATTAAGGGTCCTTCATAAAATCTCATTTCATTTGTTGTAATTTTACTTTTTTTTTTTTCTCATCGTCCACGTCTTGCATTGATTGCACAAGGTTGGCAAGAAGATTGTGTCATACGGTGCTCTTTTGGTATCTCAGTATTTGCTAAATGAGTTGGTAATACATGTTTGAATAAAATTTAGCACTGTCAGTCTATTTTCCATGGTTCATGCCGGGACTGTGCATTTGTACGAAGTGTTTTCATAGTTTATCAGGTCTCAACAGTCGGTGTGTTTCCATAGTTTATCAGGTCTCAACAGTCGGTGTGTTTTCATAGTTTATCAGTTCTCAACAGTCGGTGTGTTTTCATAGTTTATCAGGTCTCAACAGTCGGTGTGTTTTCATAGTTTATCAGGTCTCAACGGTCGGTGTGTTTTCATAGTTTATCAGGTCTCAATGGTCGGTGTGTTTTCATAGTTTATCAGGTCTCAACAGTCGGTGTGTTTTCATAGTTTATCAGGTCTCAACAGTCGGTGTGTTTTCATAGTTCATGTCAGGTCTCAACAGTCGGTGTGTTTTCATAGTTTATGTCAGGGTCACAATATAAACTCTACAGTTAATGAATTTTCATGGTTCATGCATGTTTACTTTAGTGTTTTCATAGTTAATGTATGGACTAGGCATCTGTATTTCAGTGTTTTCATAGTTTGGCAGGACTCTACAGTCAATGTGTTTTCATGGTTTATGTCAGGACAGTGAAACTGTACTTCAGTGTTTTCATAGTTTGTCAGGTCCCTATGGTCAGTGTGTTTTCATGGTTCATGTCAGGACAATGAAACTGTACTTCAGTGTTTTCATAGTTTGTCAGGTCCCTACAGTCAGTGTGTTTTCATGGTTCGTGTCAAGTAAGTGCATCTGTACTTCATTGTTTTCATAGTTTGTCAGGTCTTATACACTTAAAAAGTGCTTATAAACTTCAAATATGATCCTATTCTGTTAGTATTCACATTAATACCAGGAAAATCCCACACATTTCATACATAAATCATTAGCATTGTCATTTTATCCAGTTATACCATTATATGGCACCTAGGGCTCGCAGCCTTTCATTCCTCCATTCCATTTTATCCTGTGCGGTCCCTTAATATCATGGATGGAATCCAGTCGAGCCCTTTGACCTTTTTTGTCAATGTTTGTTTTTGGTTTCTTTTGGCTGTCCTCGCTTCCTCAGTGTCCTTATCTCTCATTGTAATGACTCTTTGGTGATTCTCTAATCTCTTGTCAGGATGTATCCAATATAGCACCATCTTCTTTGCCTCACAACTGTTGTGACCATTGGCTGCAGAGACATTTCTCTTATTTCTTTACCAGCCTTGAATTTGTCCCACTTTATATTCAAAATAAATACTAAATGTATATTTCAAATTCTACTACTAGGCACATTCACCGGGTAGCGGATGGTGGAGAGGTTCTAGATATAGAGTTTAGCTGTGAATATATTGAATAAGCGTTCATGGACCAAGACATGAGAGAAGGCGAGCTAGCTGGTGCGACAGCTAGCTCTATAAAATACCGCAAAACTCCGTGACATGGCCATCAGTGGGTAAGAGACACCAATATATCCTCCCCCCCCCTTAACTGCTTTGCCAGGTATATCTCTTTAGCAAAGGTTGTTTGAAGTTAAACCATAAACAAACTAGCAGAAGTCAAGGGGAAATCACTGCTGTATTTTCCCCTGTAAATCATGCCTTTAAACCAATCGTACACCCAGTTGCAGATCACAGGTTGTAGCTGGGCATGACCGCCCATCCCCAGTTGGCAGGGCACTTGATGATGATGATATTTCAGATGTCATTACCTATAGCCTGGTTCTATTATTCCACACTTAGATGCGGAGATGCCCTACAGAAAAACAAAACACTCATCACCCATGAGCAGAAGGAGTACCAAAGAGAACTAGAAAGAAACTACCACACCTTTCGGGACAAGATCAGTCCGATGATCTCCACGACGACTTTAAGGAAACCCAGGCATCATAAAAGGTAAGGCCCTCATGTGGGTTCTGGGGCTCCATTTTGGGGACAAAAGCAATACCCCACTGCCCCCCATACTAGCATGTTCTTAAAGTCAACTGATCAGGGGTGTTTCCTTTGAAGCCGACCAATTAGGGGTGTTATCTTCCAAGTCGACCAATCAGAGGTGTTTCCTTTCAAGTCGACCAATCAGGGGTGTTTCCTTCCAAGTTGAAGTGCATCTGTTTGAGATGCAAGGAACCAACAGTCTGGTTACAAATAAGCCAGATCTGTAAAACTGATGTGCATGTAAAACCCAAGTTCTGCAACAAGACTAAAGTCCAGAAGTGGACAAACAACCAAAACTTTCCATCAGAGTTTACCCCTGTGAACCCCAAGAAAAAGGAAAAAGATAAAAGACAAGAATGTCTGCAGTCTGTGGTGACCATATATCCTGTTTCCCTGGCACAAACCTTTTTTTTTTTTTTTTTTTTTTTTTTTTTAGTTGTATCCTAACCATCCCATCAATACCCCCCCCCCCCTTTTTTTACCCCCCTAAATGCTAGTTGTAACATTTTATAAACATTGAGGGATGAGTTCGAGAGTCGAACATACACTTATACACTTATAGTTAAATCAGGACCTTTTTAGATGTCATAGTTTGAGATACTTTTAATGCCTGAAATGTGTTGATGGGAAATCTCAACACCCCTTCCCTTCCCTCCTTCTTCAAAGCAGTTGAAGAGCATATTGTTTCGTCTATTTCTTGGTGACAGTGGTTCGGGTTTTAATGCCATTGTCGAGCAGATAATTAACCCTTTCACTCAATTGACCTAGAAATAAAGGGGGTTAGTGGGATGTCCCAATTTCAGCTGAAAACATTAGTGGAATGTCCCAATTTCAGCTGAAAATATTTGTTTATATTACAATAAACATTTCCTATATTGAATTTATAATTCTTCAGAAAATAATGTTAGAAAATGTATTCCCCACTTTATAATATTTTTTATTTGTTTACAGAGAGGGAAAGGAATCTCGCAGCAAGCGGCAATCAGACGTCAACTCTTCTGTGTGCTGATGCAGCATAAAAATGTGTTATTTCCCCCTGTGTGACCTACTTTCATAGCTGCTGTAACCTCCCCCTACATGACACAGATGATGTGATGTAGTTTATGCAATCAGTTTTTCATTTGACTATATGAGCCCTTTAAGAAGATAACTTTTGAGTGTATTCTATCTTTTATATCTGCCAAGATTTTTGTGTAAAAGTGGCCAGAATTCATTTTTTAGTATTTTTTCCACACACTACACAATATTACTGACTACGTACTGTGGTCAGCTGCTCAGACCAAACTGCATGTTGTCATTTTTTATTCTGCATAATACGCAGAATCTGTGTTAATATTTTGTTTTTGTTCCTGGAACAAGCAAAGGAATCTGTGAGGTCAGACAAGTATAGTGTTGTCCCGCAAAATATTCATGTCAAGAGTAGACAACCCATCAACATTGCTATTTCAAGAGTAGACAACCCATCAACATTGCTATTTCAAGAGTAGACAACCCATCAACATTGCTATTTCAAGAGTAGACAACCCATCAACATTGCTATTTCAAGAGTAGACAACCCATTAACATTGCTATTTCAAGAGTAGACAACCCATCAACATTGCTATTTCAAGATTAGACAACCCATTAACATTGCTATTTCAAGAGTAGACAACCCATCAACATTGCTATTTCAAGAGTAGACAATCCATCAACATTGCTATTTCAAGAGTAGACAACCCATTAACATTGCTATTTCAAGAGTAGACAACCCATCAACATTGCTATTTCAAGAGTAGACAACCCATCAACATTGCTATTTCAAGAGTAGACAACCCATCAACATTGCTATTTCAAGAGTAGACAACCCATCAACATTGCTATTTCAAGAGTAGACAATCCATCAGCATTGCTATTTCAAGAGTAGACAACCCATCAACATTGCTATTTCAAGAGTAGACAGCTTATCAACATTGCTATTTCAAGAGGAGACAACCCATCAACATTGCTATGTCAAGAGGAGACAACCCATCAACATTGCTATGTAAAGAGGAGACAACCCATCAACATTGCTATGTCAAGAGGAGACAACCCATCAACATTGCTATGTAAAGAGGAGACAACCCATCAACATTGCTATGTCAAGAGGAGACTACCCACAAACATTGCTATGTAAAGAGGAGACAACTCATCAGCATTCTTGTGTGTCAAGGGTAGGCAGCTGAACAACCATGTTGTGTAAGAAGTAGACAATGAATCAACATTGGGTCTTCAAGAGTAGGCAGCACAACAACATTATTGTTTAAAGAGTAGACAATTCATCAACATCATTATGTCAAGAATAGGCAATCCATCATCAAGGGATGTCAAATATATAGACAATTTTTCAGTATTAGTATGTTATTTAATTCATGGAAGAAACAGTCTCATTAAAGAACACAGACCAATGTACAAGTCATTTGTAATGTAGTATGTATGAAATGCTAGTGTCTATATAATAAGACGTTTAACACTCTTCAGTTGATTGACCTGATGACAATGATAATCTTTTATGTATAACAAATGTGTTAACTTAACTCTTTGAGTCCCAGAGGGTTTAGCATCACAGGCCCAAGGGGTAGTCTAGAAAGGCGTAAAATCGGCACATCTTGCGTTCACTGGGCTTCTATGTAGGGATCTGTCAACGTATGATGCGTTCCTTGGGACTCAACGAGTTAATATGCTACGAATCTTGTCTAGACAGGCACTTCAGTTATGTGTGTATCATTGAGCCATATATCATATGATATTATTACTGTGTTTGCTGTTTGATACACAGCTTTGTTTGTTGTTGATGACCCGTGTACTTGCCTTGATGGCATTTATCTCTGCATCTCAGATCTAGTCGGCATTGTTTCTTTGTTTTTGATTTACGATCATGTCAGTTATTGGGGTCCCATTGGGGGGGGGGGGGGGGGGGGGGTGTCAGGGACCGATAGTGATTTATGATCATTTCAGTTATCAGGGTCTCCATGTGTGGTCAGTGGCCCCAATTTGGTGGTGGATTGGGAGAGGAAGAACAGACCTCCCTCCTCCTCCTCATTCCCCCCCCCCCCCCCCCTCCTCCCCCCTTAAAAAAAGCTTGCTGCATAACCTTTACAGGATGTTGTAGAACCAACTCCAGCATGCTTTGGCTGTTTATCTGGTTCTTGACTTTAGTCTTGTTCCAAAACTTGAGCTATTCATGCACATCCATTTTTTTTCCTCTGTGCATACTGTTGGTTCCTCGCCTTTCAAATAGATACACTCCCACTTAAATGAAACACCTCTGATTAATCACCTTTTATGACATGCTTATGTGGGAGGGGGCTGGAAGGGCCCCAGAAATTAGACAAGAGTACTCATGAAATGAAGGACAGACTAAAATTGAGCCTATGGTCTCCGTAGCATGAGGCAGCTGGCCTAACCACACCGCCACAGTGGCCCCCTTTTAGATTATTGAGGATCCCCCTTCTTAATTGAAGACCCCGTTCCTAATGGCTGGAATGTGTTATAAATGTTGTCCTTGAGCAGGTGCTGCAAGCATTAACCAAATTTTCTAATGCCTTGTGGATGTGGACAGCCAGGGGAAGCTACCACATTATTACCCCAAGAAACTTATCACGGAGAATAAAGTTGAGGCTCTATTTTTCTTATCTTTTACCTTTGTGTTGCCTGTTTATACGTTGGTTATTATCTGTTTACATTTCTCACAACTATGTAAATTATATATGTAGTATTTTGCGTAAATAGTTTTTGTGTAGACAGCTTGAAAATTACATGTGCCAAATGAACAAGCGATGACGCTGATATTGCCATACGTGTGTGTAAACAAACATACATTCATATATATATATATCTCCTGCTAGTCTCACAGTAAACTTTAAACTGTAAATATTTGTTTCATGCACATATACTCTTTCTCTCATATGTATATTCTTTCTCCCACACATGCATTATTTCACCTGCACTCCTTCTCTCACATGTACATTCTTTCTCCCACACATGCATTATTTCATCCCCACTCTTTCTCTCACATGTACATTCTTTCTCTCACACGTGCATTATTTCACCTGCACCCTTTCCCTCACATGTAGATTCTTTCTCCCACACATGCATTACTTCACCCGCTTTTTTCCTCACATGAATTCTTTATCTAATATGTCTACCAGTTCTCTCACATTCTTCCTTGCATGCGCATAGTCAACGAAGAGGTGAAACCTATAGAAATTCATCGGCATGGTGACTGTGATGACTCTGCGTTGCATGGTCTCGGCGCTGACAGAAAGCCGAACAGAAAACCTACGCAAGGGACCACGGCACAGCATATTTTGAACTGGGGGTATGAACTAGCACAAGCCCGAGGTTGAATTAGGCTGCCGTGGCGGCTTCTTATCTCACAGTACCTCCTGCGAAACCACCAAGTCGTCTTGTCTTTGACCGAAATAATAACACCATCCGGTAATTCCGTGCAGCGGGGAACCAGCCCTGAGCTTCATGAACTCAGGTGGGCCCACCTCCGATTACGTCTAGGAATCGTGGGCCGAAACGTGTGTCGAAACGTGTGTCGACGAGGATAATTTCTACTGACGACTGGTAGATCCCCGCTGTACTTGCTCCCTGTGAGTTTATTCCTATTGTGGTCAGTTGGGAACCAGAGCTTGAAGAAGACAGTTGAGATGGTTGTGATGTAGTAATTGACATGTCTTGACATCATGTGGAAGATAATTGCGGATTTATTGCGGGAACAAGAAGCCATGTTGGTGAATAACTGTGAGAATCAGGAAGAGTAAACTGATAGAAAGTATATTTGGTAATTGACCGCTGTTTGGCATTATTAATTGTAGAAAGTTGTCTGTTCCCTAGTGAGCCAGCATTAATACAAGTGAGCCAACTTTCTTACAGTGACACATGTCTGTCAGTTCAGCTGGTGTAGGAGTGGAGCAAGAAGTTTCAGAACGGCTTGACTTCTGTGACAGGCTGTTATTGACCTGGTCAGGTGCAAACAAATAAGACAGTAAAACGGATGTACACGCAAAACTCAGGTCGAGGTAAAAGCCAAAAGTCCATTTGGACGAACAACCGCGACTTACCGCCGGAATTCACAGCCGGTGAACAAGAAAAAGAAAGAAGAAGAAGACCTGGTCAGGCACACCGAGTAGTGACGTGAGAGTCAATTGAAGCATCCTCTTATGTTCTTTCTCTCACAGATTCAATCTTCTAGTTAGATTTACCCATTTTCACTTATATGTTCACACTTTATCTCTCACATATACACAGACATAATATTCTCCTTTTCTCAGATCAGATATATTTCTCTATCTCACTGACCCCCTCCATGTATATATGCCTCTTTGACACTGTACAGTGTCAAACATGCAATATTGTATCATACTAACACAGTGTATATAAATATAACTTCATATTCAGCTGTAGTCTTTATCAAGTGCATGTTTCATTTGTAAGTTTCTTGTGTGTAAACTGGGGTCTCCGTGGCACAGTGGTCGAGCTGTTTGCCTTGTGCTGTGAAGGTCGTGGTCATTCTGCATAATGCAATTTTGACAGAAATCCCAGGAAATCATATCCGGAGTTACAGTGTTCTCGCTTTTTGGTGGCTCGCCATTCTTTTGAGAGAGATCGAGCCACACCGGATGAAGTCCAGTCTAATAAAGTAGATCCTCTCACTTGTAACCTGTATATTGAAATATGTTTTGTGCGTGAGAATAAAGCTGTGAAGCATGGTGGGCAAACTATGGCCTGAGGAGGGAAATGTGCCCGCCAAGCAATTCAACGGCTGGCAAGGCCTGTGTGGAATGACTAATCAGGCTCTTGAGCTCACACAACAGCAGAACACACATACACAAAAAACATGTTCATATGTAGAAAGGATAAAATCTAAATATCAATACCCCAAAAAATTGAAAGCCAGAAACTGGTCTTTGATTCTGTTGGTGAAACACATGTTGCAAATTCAGACTTAGAAGATCAGAAGACAGTCTCTGTCGACGGACTTTG